AAGAGTTCTGGGCCCGGTAATAATGGGAACATCCGAGAAACAGGCTCCTGAACCCAGTTTGTCAAAAGATGCAAAACTGCGATCAAGTTCCAAGTAAACTTCAAGCCATTTAACAACGGAGAACATAATATCTTGTCTAGCTTGTACTGCGAGACATTTCCATGTCATTCAAAACCCAAAACAAGACAATGTATGAGAAACTAAATGCAATGGAAGGCTAAAATCTTAGCCCCCTAGTTTAACACGCTGAAATTGGAGGAACTGTGCTCTGAGCCCTGACCGACAATATGATCTAAGAATTGGTTCAATGGACTGTTTATTAGCTTTTATTCAAGGCGGAGTTGTTTTAAAGTACGCCAAAGGTTATAATTAAAAATTGGAAATAACCCAACCCAGCACTTTAAATTCAAGGATTTACAGTGGTTTCATAAATGTTTAAAAGCTCGTGCTTCTAGCAACGGAAACGCATTACGGAAATTGCAGGATGTGGCATTAACTCGGAAACTGATTAACCTGTAGCTGCTTGTGTCATTTTGCCGCTGGCTGCGGTATTATGCTGGTTAAAATTACTAATACGGTTTTCTAACGCATTGAACCGTCACTGAGCCTCGTACAAAAAATTTTAAAAACAAGTCCCGAACGTGACATGGAAGCAGGAAGTGCTAAATGAATCCTGTATTTGCTTCATGAAGTCTATGTTGTTTTTTCAGTAAATAAATCATGAGAGTCAAACGTTTGGGTACTGACTGGAAAGGTTAAAATAAGTGAAAGGATCTCGTGAGAAAAGTATCCCCTACTTTCGCTTTAAATGTTTGTACGTCCGGCGGCGCCTCGTGTTAAAGACATCATACGGTATAGTACCCCTCAATGTTCGGACAAAGTATTACACCATATGGTCATTAGAATTCAGAATTTCATCAACAGACTTAAATTAAAAGTCAGAATTACCTTGTTCAGCATAATAAACAGGAGAAAAGAAATGTAGTGCGTTGTAATTACTATTATATAGTTACGCCGTGTGAAATCGTTATTTGAGGGCCTATGAATATATGATCAACATTTTTCTGTGAGTGTTCAATTGCATTGAGATTTTTAAGCCTTCCTTTCTTTGAAAACTTCTACGAATTTAAGCTCTTTATAAATAAAACCTATAATCTATGGACAGAACCTTTTCTTTAGTGGCTTAGTTTTTCTGGTAGGTTTTGAAATTTTTTTTTTATTATACCAAGATCTTACAATATACATGCACTTAATGTCAGATCCCGAGGGTTCGGCCGCAACAAAAGAATAACCGGAGAGAACCAAAACAGTCAACACAACTTTAATTCTTAAACCACTGAATGAATGATTTACAAAGTACTTTCCAGACTTTCTTTATATTATCTGCATCTTTTTCCTCCACTAGCTGCTGTTTCTCTAGTGGGATAAGTTTAAAAATCGTTGCTTTTCGCTGGAGACTTCGTGTTTGTATTGTTGTGTTCATTCACGAAAAAGAAAACTGGCGGTGTTTTTCCCGCCTTCTGTCACATCACTTTCCACCATGCTTTGATCACGTGCTGTAATGAAGCCCGAGCAGGGTATATTGCTTGATGTATCACTATTGGGATAGATTTGATTTTAGTCCAGGCCACGTGACCACGTGACGTGGCAGTCCCTGTTTAGTTAAGATAAGGTCTAGGAATATAACAACAATCGATATTTCTTTTCACACTGAACATTGGCCTTCGGGCGATTGACTGACCACTAGCGTGGTGGACCGGTACTGATGCCAATGTGGTGACACCTGATCAATACTTTTATTTCACATGGTATTTTACGTAATTTTGAAGCCTAGAGTAGAAATATTTCATGCAGAAATCAAATCGAATAATAGATACTTAGTTGACAAGGTCCAATACGTGCGCTCGTATCGCTAGCCATGGCGGCTATCCTTTCTTAGATACACGTGGATCGTTTGGGTGGAATAAGCAATTATTAACACGACGTCTCTGGCAGAAAAAGAATAATTAGTGGATCAGCAGACAATACAATATACACACTGATGTTAGAATGATAAAAGGTTAAAATGATACGCTAGCTTGTCATGATAGGCAATTAAATTATAAACAATTTCAAACTTGCAACGTCACGGACCACACCCTTTGCTGACGTCACTTAAGTGTGCAGATTATGCAATCTCCTGTTTATACTTCAAAAACATTGTTCAGTTCCCTTATATTCAAGCCATTTTTTAAAGCCAGGAATTTCAAGAGGCTTGTTCCTTAACTTGTCCACATTCGTGGCTCTTGATCGAAAGAAAGCACTCATTCTCGAAATGCCTTTCAGCCCGAGGCAGAATTTCAGCGTTTCTCTGGTGGAATTCCGAAAACAAAGTAGATATTAAACAGAATTGATGTTCACTTTTCGTTTCATTTCAGCTTTGTAATCGATATTTTCACTCAAGGATGGCTTCGTTATAGTGCTGAATAGTGTGTCGCGCTGACGAAGGGCTACCACTCGAGATTAATCAACTCACTCATATGTTCATGGCCCTGCATGTTGTTTAAAGGCCGATTAGCGCTAACCCGAGATTAAATTCTAATCCAGGGTTTTTTTTCTTTTGTTCAAAAGCATTTTCTCGGATTATTTTCTCTCTCCTTTTTAGGGCATCCAATCGTCAAATTACTGTAGACATAAGAAATTAAACCGAATTTGGTTTTTAAGCTTTCATTTCTAAATTCATATTTCGCACTAAAACTCAACGACTCAACTCAACGTTTTGAACAACCCAAACGATAAGATTTGAATTTTTATGGCAATCCACATTGAAGCTCCTCAACTGAATCCCTTTATTCATTTGATGTTAAACTTGAGGTTCAAGGTTCCTTGCTTTTCCTGTGGATGTTGGTAACAAATCACTTTTAATTATGTCTAGTTTTTCGGGAAACAGTTTTGTTTCCCTGTCGGTATCCTTGTACCCTCGAACTTCCCTTAAGAAACTGACTGCCGGTCGAGACTTTTGGGAAAACACAAGTAACTAGTTTTATATAGTAGGAACTATGCATTAAGGGCGCGTCCGACTTATCGCTATTCCGGGATAAGAGTAAATTATGGAATTACCAGTAGGAATTTCTTGTCTGCTTGGCTCTTATTGGGTAAGTTTCCTATAAAGAAATCTGGTTGTCATTAGCCTGCAGTGCAGGCGTCTTCTCTGGGCGCGCGAATGTTTTTGCTCGGAAAAGCGCCACATTAAAACTTCCGCAGAGAGGAGGAAATGGGGCCGCTCTTACCCCAAGGCCGGTTTACTATTTCTACTCTTCCCAACCTTTCTCTGTCATAAAATCTTTAATATCCATCTGGTTGTTTCAGATTCAATTCAGATTTGGTACAATGTTAGTTCCTATCCTACAGTACGATCAACGGTAGCCTCTTAGAATAACTTGCCACGATAACACGGTCGAGACTTCCTTTCACCATTTATCGACTTAAGTTTAAGTTAAGCAATGATCTCCTTGATATCTCCAAAGTGTTGAATAATCCTAGCTATAAACATCACAGTTCATATGATGATTGGAAAATTAAGAAAAAATCATAACAATACGCCATTGGTTGGGGAAAAAGGTGTTTATTAACACACTCACACCGTTTACAGACTAAACACCATTTTCTCGAGTACATACGTTTCGATCCTTCCGAGTTCTGGCAAGGAGAGCGCGGAACGTTTCTGAACATTGGCTGGTAATGGAGCCATACTTACTAAGGAACTAACTGTATTCCTTCTTCTTCTGTTAAAAATCGATTTTTAAAAAAGTTTTGACTTCGATTGATAACGATTTCCGATAGAAAATCGATAATGATTGCTTTATCGATTGCTTTGGATTACTATCGATTATTATTGGAAAAGGCTTAAGTCATTCGGTAGAAGTTCAACATTAACAAGATGCTGTCTTTACGGCATACGTATCATTGAGTTATTCAGTCGTGATATTTTTTGTACACTTCTTTTAATGGATAAAATAGAGAACAAAACACTAACAGAAACAAGTTGCTCTTTACTTTGATTTTAAGGTTAAGCGCAGTTCATAATAAGGAAGGAATTCAAAAATTCCTGCGAAAGTGGTCGAGTAGGCAACCCTCAGTATGCTAGCTGTAGCAATTCCACAACATGGAGCATAATAAACAACAAAATCAGTGTTCTTGTAATTTCAATGACTCGCATTAAAAAAGAATCGTAAGAATAAATGGTTAAGTAAACAGAATCATCATAATGTTGTTGCTTGTTATCGAATACTATCGATTACTATCGATTTTTATCGATTTTTTAATCGATAATAATCGAAAAATTAGTTTTACCGGGACTTTGATTTCCGATATCAATCGATACCATGCCTGTTGCACAGAACAAAAAATTCTCTCAATCGATACCATGCCTGTTGCACACAACAAAAAATTCTCTCTGAACGTCCTTGCTTTTGCTGAAGTTTCACTATTAAATAGCTTCATCATTTTTGCTGATTATTGCTCCACGGTCTAGTATAGGCTAACCGGCAGTTACACAGACCAAAAGAAAACATGATAGCTTATCAACAGACTGTTTGACGGAAATATTTTTGTTGACAACGAACCACCAAACGTCATCCTCCTACCAAATTTTAAACATAGTTTAATCCAGTGCTAGGTTGTTCTCTCCGCGTCACAAATCTATTCTTGTCTAGCTATTAACATGGATATCTCCCGCAAACCAATAAAAATACAGCTTTTATTTTTAGCATACCACGCGCTCAAGAACGAATTTGCTGACGCTGAATAAGTTAAGTGAAGGAGATCTTTTCCAGTTTAATCACTCAAAAGTATGTGTTGAATTTGACTATGTCTTTTTTAAATAATAATAAAAAACATTTTGCTATAACACATTTTTTTTTGTTAGAAAATATTTTCCCACAAACTGGACCTATCATTAAACAACATGCTTAAACCGTAGAGTTGAAGTTTTTCTTTAGAAAAAACTCTAATGAGATGATTTATTCTATGCCAGTAATTATTTCCACTTTCTTCCTGTCTAAAACAACATCATCAAAGATTTTTTAAGCATAGATCGGCCAATAATCATGGTAGTTAGCTGCACTGCTCTTCAGACTATAAGAATTATGGAGCAGAGGCACCTAGCCTGGTAAGTGTTGAATGAACTGGAATGGATGGAGCCGGTGAATAATGATCAAAGTTACTATAATAGCCGAAGTCGTTTAAGTAAGAATGAGATCTAGAGATTTATAATAAATTAGACAAAACAGGTAAGGTTAAAAGAAGCATAGACAGATTTGGTTTAGGTTGAATAATTGACTACATCTTTTTATTTTTATTATTATTATAATTATTTTTACTTTATAATTTTTTTCATATCGCTCATCAGTGGTTATAGTCAACATAACGAACGCACTTTAGTTCACACTGAGCTGTCTACTTCTGTATCACTTGAGCATTTTAAAATTTTCCTGTTATTATTGCTTAATCTGGCTCTTTTTCTAGAATGGAACATCATGATCTCTGGTGTCGGTAACCTTTAAAGTAACAGATCAATTGACGCACAGAAGTGACTCATAACCCTAAGCCTGAGGTACTGAAGCTTAACTTTAATTAGTCAGTAAGTTAGTGAGCATGGGTTTTCTAAGAGAAATATATTGCTTATGTATCGGTCAAATCGAAGCTTCAACATGCCCCCCCGGGCAACCCCCCGGGCAACCCCCCGGGCATTTGACTTTTTTGAAAATTATTGTTCAAATTCCCCCCTACCCGGGCCAAAATGCCGTTCAAATGCCCCACACTATGGTCCATCTAGGTGATCAAATGCCCCCACCCCGGGGACGTTTCACAGGCACAAAACTGTCAGAGGGACGGCGGAAACGCCTTCAGTTGTCGGACAAAATCTTTACAAATATAACAAAACTGAGAAACATTGTTAGCGTATTTATTAAGAACAAAAGTCTCGTGCAAAGCGGCGGAAATCGCTGCTACAAGCTCACTGAATGCTCAAAGCGTTCTATAAAAAAAGACCCCATCTATTGAGATTACTACATCATGACCATTTCACTGATATGCATCATCGCTCACCTTATTAACTAACATACTTGCCGTAGGTCAAAGTAGTTGACCTGAGCTTTTTATTTTATTTTATTTTATGTTGTTGTATTGAATCGCCGGTATAGGTATTGTATTTCATTGTATAAAACACAACAATAAAATACATTCATACATTCAAAGCCCGAATCCAGTATTAAAAATTTTAAAATTTAAATACTTCAAATACAGCAGAAAGCTTGTTTAAGCCCTTTCCTCGAAACCAATTGGCCACAAAGGCACGATCTCTTCAAAGAAAATCCTATAACACCGCGTCCCCCATGATAGCTCGCCACGCCAAAGATTTTACATGAAATCGAGGGTTCAGTTCAAATTCCCCACCCCTAAAGCATGGGGATCAAATTCCCCACCCCCTGGAAGACTCTGATAATCAAATTCCCTCCTCCCCGGGACGGCAAAGGTGTCAAATGCCCGGGGTATGCCCGGGGGGGGCATGTTGAAGCTTCGATTTGACCGATACATTAGAGGCCTCACAAAAAAATCAGGTATCTAAGCTACTACAAACAGTACCATGACGTACTTACTCATTTTATTTCAACGAAACTAAGACACTCTCCATCGGCCATTGCATTTGATACGGAGACTTTACAGCAACTGCAAACGTCAGATTTAAAGCTGACAGTTTCTCAAATAAGGAAACACACAGCTCAAAACTGTACGAAGTAAGTCTCATGAACATAGGCGTACGGGCAATTTTTTGTCAGGGGGGGCGGTAAACCATTTGCCCAAAAAATTCTTGCAAGTTGCCCAAATTTTTACAAAACAGTCGAACAGAAACGAGGGCCATAAGATGCAACAACATAGGCCGTACTAGCATATGAAAGTGGCTCGATACAGTTTTTCAGGGTCAATACCTGTGAAGTTTTTTTGAGCATAGACTACGACACCATAAACAAACATTTGGAAAAATTGCCACCACAGTTGTATTAGATAAAGATGAAAATTTGTTATGATCCGGGTTGAAATAACATCGGAGTTGTCATAGCAACCAAATGATGCCATTACCTATTATACTTGCAGCAACATTTCTCACTGGGAACTGTTCTTCCAAAATCGTTCACGGAAGCATTTTTCTCCAATAGTCGCCGCGATGTTCGTGAAATTAAAACGGAATCTGTAAGAGCGTTGCGGAGATATTTTGGTATAAAGTTTTTATCTTTAGAAATAGGGTAAAAAAGGAAAATCTTGTTGTTTGGCCGTTATCTGTAGAAAACGAAGCGCTTTTGACATGCAATTTCACCTCATAGTAGTTTCAATCTTTTTAAAAACGTGGGTAAAAGATCATGGAGATAGCTCTGGTCAAAAAAGGATTTGAGTGTTTAGTATGTATCATGGCGCTCTTGTTAGCGGTTTTGTAAACATTTCGGTCTATATACTTTAACAAATTAGTGAATAATCTTTAAACCACTCGATAGATTTTTTTGTTTAAAAAATACGATTCTTTGAGTAATTCAAACTGAGATTAGTCAGCCACTTCTTCACTTTCAGACCGATTGCTGATGCTATCTGCCATACACTGTTCTACGAGTGGAGATGATTCTAGAAAGTTAGGCGGAAGTTTATTCTAATCAATTCACGACTGGAAATTGCCCATTGCAGTACAGTGCCCAACAATAAATAAAAAAAAAAAACAGCACATGATACCCTTCCCTTATAACCAGAAACTCATTACGTGCTAGGCAACCACTGTGTCCTGTAAATGTAACAGAACTGGATTATTACGCCAACTTCAGGTTAAAATAGAAAATATTTATCTCCTCAAAATAATGATTTAAAAAACACGGAAACATCTTAAAAAACTGGCTTTGCCCAAATTTTCTCTCGCTGCCCAAAAAATCTGAGTTGCCCAAAATTTGGGGGGGCTGCAGCCCCCCTCGCCCCCCCGGCCCGTACGCCTATGCTCATGAATAGACCTGACATGAAACTGTAGCTATTGGTGTGTAGATGTGTAAATGTAACGGGAAACCTTGGTCATGTGGTACGAATTGACGTTTGCCCAAAACTTCTAAAATCTCTTCAACTTGGCAAGAAGGCTGGGACTAATATAGTACAGGGCTCATTGCAAAAGCGAGGGAGGTGTTCGACTTTAAAAAAAGTTTAGAGCTTTAATTTGATGATGTCAGGGAATATCAGCTTCTTTCGTCGTAATAAGTGCATTAATTCACCTAATCAAGTCATATTACCTCTGTTTATATTGCTAGTGATCCCGCTTTCAAATCGAAGGCCCTTCTGTCTTCCGAAGAGCCAAAGTATTTGTGCTGAAGGTATCCTGTCAGTTTAAGAATTTATGACCAAACAGTTTTGTAAAAAGGACAACTGGTTAATGAACATACAAGAGCGTACGGCTAAGATGAGAAATGAAGTTATATAGTTTATTGGAATGTGAAGAATTCAAGCCGAGAAGCGATATGTGGCAAATGCTGGCCGGGTCCCTGATATTTCCCTCAAGAGACACTTATCGACTTAGTAACGTAACTACTTTTAAGTTTTTCACTTCTTATCCTGTCAAGACAAGAGACACTCCAAAACGTGTATTTCGCAATAGTGGTATATTACACTGCGAGTAAAATAAACGGAAATTGTTCACAGTCACTTCCGAGTTAATGATCTCTATCAAGCAAACGGACACTGCACTGTGGTTTGTTTCCCTTTGGTTTTTATCAAACTCATTTAAGTTACGGAAACGGTTGATTCATAACGGAAATTAAACTGCAAACAGAACGTGACTTGATTATAAGAAAAAATCATGAAGACTCATCATTAAGAGGGAAAAGGAACACAAAAAAAGGTGTTTCTTCCTCAGCTTCTCTTAGCAGCTCTCAAATCAATTTTGAATGGACATAGAATGGACCAAGAAGAAAATATCGAAACCAAGTTGGAATACTCTAATAACATAAACTGCTTGCAATGAAAGAAATTTCAGTTATTGAGCTACAACGGTCATATTTCAATCCCACTAAAAGAGAGACAAAAAATACCAGTCATTCAATTTACTAAAAGCAGATCAGTAAAGCGAATCAAAACTGTCTCGAAACTGTCGAATGGGGAAGTAGTTGACACTCTATCGTAGCATAAAACACGATTTCTGTAGTGGCAATATTTTGTTCCTATCCTCCAAAATTTCTATTTTCAAAACTTTGTAAGATCTTACTCATCCACAACCAAAGCTAAATGATGTTTGACACGTGAGGTTAACCGCAAAGTTTTGCTCTTCATTGCTTAGTTATCATATCCTGTCAACGTCAGCAAAGTATTTAATTTTAAACTGAGTTCTTCTTTTGTCGAGTATGCCGATGTCTTCGGAAATCATTACAGTACAGGCGTGAGCGTCACCAGAAACTTAGTCCTCAAGCTGTACATAGAGGTAAGAATAATCAAAATCATAGTACTTATTCTGATGATCGTTATAATAATAATCTCATCTTATGATTTTCTCAGTGTAAACGATAAAAGCCGGTGGAGGGACTGTGTTAACTTACAAAGGGTTTTTCACATGGCCTGCGCTGATTCAAGACAAAAATATCTGATACCTTGGGAGATACAGTAACAATATTGATGAATCTTATAAAATTTATTTATTTATGTTTTACAGAAACAAGCCTTCAGAAAGTTCAGTACCTGTCTATAGTATTCAAGATGGCAGGGATAGCATCTAATGGCGGCTTACCCCAATGCACGAATGCAGTCAAAAAGACGAGCTTTGGTAAATACCAGACCATTGGTGTTTTAAGTAAACATAAACTTGGTTATTTGAAGCGAAACAATTCATATTTTAAACTAGCAACCTGCTGAATTTGAAAGTGCCGGTAAACAATTAGCCCGTGACGTCAATGGGTCTCACCCACAATTCTGACGTCTGTGATACTGTTTGCGTGACAATGCAGTTTGATACTTTGAATTCTCTAAATATTAAGGTAGGGTGAAAAATCCGAAAAGAAAAAATAAATAAATAAAAAATCAAGTCTTTTTTAACACCTTTACTTTAAATGACATTAGCTTTGTCATGAGGAGGCTAAAAACTAAGCTTAAATAGTAGTTTGAATATAGTAACGGCTTTATCCAGTCACCTTTTGGGTGCACAAAATATTTTATTCATATATATATATACCTAGAGTAGATTTTGCGCAAAATGGGAAAAAAGCATATCAAACTTTCCGAAATGTGTTAATTTAACAACTACTTTTCACCCTCAATTTTCTGCTGGTCTAAGGGTGGATTTCCACTGCCGCGTAATTTTTTTCGTGCGAACGAGCGTAAATAAAATGGAAGTAATGAATGAAGTGTCGCTCGTAAACGTTTAAGTTGAGCGAGGTTTAACTTTCACGTTTGCGCGCGACCTATCATACATTATTACCTCTATCCCATTTACGCGCGTATGCACGTAAAAATTACGCGACCGTGGAAATCCACCCTAAGTGATTCGTATAAAATTCCTCACAACCAGCGGAGAATTTAACGTAGAAACTGAAGGACATCACAGTTTTGATGGTTGAGTTACAGTGATTTTCAGCGAAAAGTCTTCACCGGTTTTTAAGCTCAGTATTAAGTCTGTAACTAATTCTAAAGTGTGAATATATCGTTCAATCTTTGATGAAACTCTGTGACGAAATTTTGAGTCATTATTTTGAGTCATTATTTTTGTTGCATTGAACGTAAATTTGATATAAATTTGGTGTAATGCAGATAAATAACAACGACGTAAATTTAACTTCAACTTTATTGAACTTACTATTCAGGATAAATAACATGATACATCAAGTAAAAGATACAATATATATTTATAAATTAGTGTGCGGCTGGTGCCTAGACGAAGCTGAAACCGGCATACGAGTTTATGTTTCTGATGGAATAGAATGACCCAGGTTAACATTAACTGCAAAAGAAAAACTAATATTTCGTTTTTAATAGTATTTAACCGATGTAGACAGCGACGAAGCTCTTTTAAGAACTAGCCTTTCTTTTTCCTTACCAGGGACTAATTCCAGTTTATAAAATGAATACCGCAGCATCAAAACCAAATTAGAGTGACTTTCAATTAACAGTATACTTACTACTTCAATTCACTTACTCCGGCAGTATTGTCAGTAACCATTTGTGGACTTGAGTCAGTAATAGTATATCCTTGTTAAAGATAACTACTAAAAAAACGTTCTTACACATTAACAACTGCATGCATAACAATAGTCAACCAAGAAAACGATAATTTCAGACGTCATTACTTACAGCACTGCTTCACTAAGTTTTTGTTAACTGTTCTACTAGTAGTTCAGCACGCGTTGATTAAAAATTAGTACTCAGTAACATAATGGGCAATGAAAAATTAAATGTCTAGTTCGTGGACTCTGTGAAAAATGATCCTGATAAACAAATTTGGGGTGCCAAAAGGCCGCGTGGCGTGGCACGGTCATTTTCAATACTAACTCATGGTCAAAATGTTAGATTAAATCCTTAGGTGAAAAAAGCAAGGAATGCTTTATTCTGTGACAGAGGTTCCCAGAAAATCGTATCAGTCAAAGAAAGCAGGGACAGTCAGAACAGTGCTTTTGCACCATTCTGTTTACTCTTATAATATTATTTTTTCAGGTTTTGACTCAGCGTACTAATTTGCCTTCCACGATCATTTATATTGTTCTTATTATGGACGTTATTCTATTGTTTTTGATCTAGAACACAAGAGTTAAAAAAAAATCATCAAGTCTAACTGCAAGTTTACCTGTTAAGTTGATATTCTCATTTCAAAGCACAATTTACAGTCTTCATATGCATTCAAACAGTCCAAGGACTTCAATATAACTGCCTTTCTTATCAGTAGCTTTCAATAAACAGGCTTTTATTTCAAGAGACTTTATATACAGAAATTCAACTCAATAAGAATTGATGTAAGATTATTATTCTTATCCCGTGACACCCGAAACACATTAATTAGTTGTTACGAAGTCCACTAATGACGTCACGCCCATTACGTTCGGATCGCGTGACAATGTAATATTCGCAAATTACTTCCGTTGAGGGCGGATTGTTTCGCAAGCTCTAATTATAATTAATTTTACGCTTTTCTGGTTGTATTGATGACCACATTAGATCTTGTTTTAGTAAATGAATCATAGTTTATTATAAGAAGAATAAGCAATACTTCTATCCTCCAAAATCACGATGTTGCTTTTTTAATAAAACCTGTCCTTTTTTTCTCCCCTGACAAAATTCATGACGTTACCTAAAAAAATGTTGCTTAAACTTTGCTTTACGTTTATGAACAAACTTCGAACTAACCGACCATCCACTGCGATGAAGCTGAAAGATACGTTAAGTACATTAAGTACTTAAGGTTTACTTCGTGTTAAAGGAAAGCCCCAAACGGAGACAGCCCACCACCTGAGAGCCCACCCTACGTCGACACAAATGTTTAACTTTCAAGCAATATTCTTCGGTGACTTCTTTTTTAGATATGGCCACACAATAATAAATGCAGTCTTATCTCTCACGCGATCACACCACAAATTACTCCGCAAACCTTCGACTATAAATGAGTGCAAGTTACACTTTAATTATCACAGAAAGGTTAAAATAAAGGTCGCTAAAACGAAGAAGACTTTTTGAAAAAAAACGGAGTCTCTGGCAAAGTTTTTGTTCGGCCATTCACTCCAAAGTCACCACTGTCTTCAGTTTCTTGATTGTTCTTATCAGCTTCCCCTCTGCGGATTTTTTTTATTCTCGGTAGAAATAAAAATATTAACTCTAAAATCAATAAGAGAAATGTTTGTTGCGAACTAAGAAATCTCTCGCGTAAAACAATTACAGAAAGAAAGAATTTGTATCTTTCAAAATGGCGACCAACTCGGTTACCATCCACAACAAGAACAAAATAGATCATTTTCCCATAACATATGTTTGTTTGTTGATCGGATTTGGGAGATCTGATCCTTATAAGCCTTCCTGCCGGTTGTTATGAATTGGAATCAATTTGCTGGGAAAAATGTCTACAGGCCAATTATTACGACAAAGTGATATTTTCATAGATATCATGACGCACTGTCTGATGCCAGCAGTAAAATAATCAGGTAGTTTTTTGTAGTCTGCTACAAAACGATCGTGCGAAGGATGAAACTTAAACTACTGACACTTCCTTTTTTTAGGATTTTAGGAGATAATACCGGAATACGTCCGCAAATTTACTCGATATCAGCCTCTTTCACTTAAGTGTTTCATGAACGCAAGACCAGTGTGGTCGAAGACTTTGTTAAGAGCCCATCTAACGAGTTGAGATAAACTTAACTCTTACTTTACTGCTGTCATCACTTTTGATTTAATAATTTCTCAGAAACAAACTCAGTGAGAAGCTTTTCATATCAAAAGTGACGAGAGTAGTCTACGCAAAAGCAGAAATGCTGGAAGTAGACTTGAAGCAATATACTCCCTTCAAAGGCCATTACGTAACTTTGTGTTGCATGCTTGTTTTACAATTTAATTGAATGGCAATAATTCTAATAAGTTTCCATTTTTCTTGTCAAATTTCCTTTGAACAACCGATGTTTAAGGGATCTGCCTCATTCAGTAAAAATTTCCAATAAACCCCTCACAAGAAAACAGATAAATACTAGAGAAACTGGCTGTTTCTTATGACTCGCTGAATAGTTCAGTCAGGGGCATGAAATGGCATTCTTACTGCTAAAGCGTCTGTTGAGATGAAAACTGTATGAAAAGGTATCTTTACCTTTAAAATGTTGCTTATCAGAACTTAAAAATAATAATTTTGGATTCTTTTAGTAGCTGGAAGCAGAATGATTGAGTACTGGAGGTAATTCTCAAGGTATGGAATCGCTTGATGCGGGAGTATTTACCTACACTGAATTGGATCCCGTCACAAATGGTTTCTACCAACAGATAATCTCGAAGAAGATGTTGTCTTAGTGTTTGGGCCAAACACACCAAGGCGAGATTGGAAGGTCGGACGGATCGAGGCAGTGTATCCAGGACAGGACTAGTCACAGTGGTAGACGTGAGGACTGGGGGAAGTATGAAGTTCAGACCGATTACGAGACTCTCACCGTTGGAAGCTGAAACTCCAAATGAGCACACTTGTAACTAGTCAGTTATGATTTGCTTCTCAAAGACTATGAAAAGTATTTTTGGAACACTAGAATTGCGTTCTTTGAATCCGTTTCCATTTTATTTCACTAGCGTTGTATTTTCAATGGACTGGAAATCAAGAATAATGAGACAGAGCAAAATCGCACGGGAAGTTAAGTTTGTACGTATTGCTCATGGTGGTTAAGGTTGACAGTTTTACATAAAATTCCCCGGATGTTGAAAGTGGAAGGCTTGTTGGAAAAATCGTAAAGTTTGTGGTGACTTGTTCTTTGTTATATGGATTTTTGCGGATTTTAAAGCGGACACCTCAAAAAAAAACCAGCCGATGCTGGATGTACATGTAATGTGATGTGCAGAAAGTAAAGTTTGCGCTCAGAGCGTGATCGACAAGGAAGTACGAAGCCTAAATGGGAACAGCGGCTCCTTAACTTTTCGGGTCCGAAGCCAAATATTGTTGGTTTTCACGTGACGTCACTAAAATTCAAACTAAAAACCTATCGATCCTACCGAGATTTCACTTTCACGATGCATTAGAGCAGCTGAAAACTAATTTTCATTCAAATTTTCGCTTCAAAAGGGTTCTTGGTTTTGTAGCCTGTGAACAGGCCTTTGGTCGAGCGGGGTAGAATAGAGTACGCTTGAATTTCTAAGCTTTTTCGTGACGCAGCGTTTACATAACGGCCAACAGAGCTGTCATGTCCCGGGGGGGGGGGTACTCCCATACATTACCTATACGGGTATGTGTCGCCCAACGGGGTCGTGATTTTGAAGCTCCTGATTTAGAACGGGGTATCCTTTTCAGAGGCGTTTTCTAGAACGGGGTATAATATTTCCAACGCACGAAAGCTCCAGTTTTGTAAGCAGCCATTTGAAATTATTCAAGGACAGATTGCTTTTAAAAATACGGTTCAATGCGTTAACAAGCAAACTGTTGTACTCTTGGCACCCTAGAACGGAGTATAAAAAATTGGCCCATTTCTAGAACGGGGTATCAGTTTTAGGGCGAATTCTAGAACGAGGTATCAATTTTTTTTAGAACGGGGTGCCAATTTGGAGTCCCGGACGGCACCTACCCACCCAAAAAATACCCAAGTGCCCCCCGGTGTCATGTAGCTTAAAAAAAAAGACTTAATTTTGCTATCTAAATAGTTCAAGTATTAGAAAAAGTAATACTTTAATGCCGTTTATGAGTTACTCGTAAAATAAATTCATGCTTAAACTCGGTAACAGATGTTTCTGTTGGTTTCCGTCCGCCATGTTGGAGGTCGTTCAGGTGAGCACCGGCATGGCGTCTCCATATAAATCTCTAAGCGATTCTTAGTGGCCAAGGTGGGCCTGGGATCTGAGGCGAAACGTGTCTTTTGCTTAAGTGTGTTTGCAAGGTCGTGATGACACACGTGCAGACAAACGTTACAAAAAATGCAGCTTAAAAGTATGACTAATATTAAATATCTATTAGTAATATTCACAGACACAAATTACAAGTTAGAACTGCGGTGCAGCATAACGGTTTGGCATTAGCGAAACAACTTTGCAAAGTTTCCATTACAATGAACTTATGTTTTTCTTTGGAACTGAAGATTACGACAAACTATTCAATCCTAGTTTCAAAGGGACCTCTTTTTAGTAGTTTTTTCTTTATTTTGTGGGTTCAAGGGCTTTGATTTTAGTTCAGAGGAGGCCGCAATATTCCAAGCAGAGAGGCAATTAATTAGTTATTGCCAACGAGGCAACCGAGCTAAGAAGCGAGGTTGCCTCGACGGCAGATTCATAATCCCGCGTAATGTAGGCAAAACTCTCAAAGTCTCCGTAGCCCTCTAAAATTTACATTTTTGACCATAAGACTCCATATTTGGGCATTGAGGTCATGATCTTGTATTTACAACTCGTGGTTCGAAATTGGGTCCCGTGTGCAGCTGTTCGTCTTCTGTTCAAGAGGCTTTAACAGGTGAGCAAGCTTTAAATGGATTTCTAGTTTGAAAGGGCTATTAGTGCTCGGGTTTGCTTTATAAATTCCGTTTAAAGCAGCAGCTATCAAGGCGGGATAGGCTTTTACGTTCCAATTTTTGTCAAATCCAGCTTGTTCTTCGCAGCTCGATTTCTCCTAGTTGAGGTACATGTTCGCTTCTCGACTCAGAGACAGGGTTCTCAGTATTATCCTTAAATTTGTAAGTTGAATTCTATGCGGTAGTTAGTCGAGCAATATCTAGGGTCGTATTCTCAAAATTAAGTAATGATCCGGGTAAGGTGGAGAGCAATTTCTTTTGTCATGCGGCAACGGTGCTTTCCCCACATAGGAATGTTCTCAGTTTTACACAGAGAATGCATAAACCTACGTGCACGTGAAGGCCGTTTAGGCAATAAAATGCATTTACACTCCACTTTGAAAGGGTGTTTTTTGTGTTAAAAGATTTTGACCAATCACAACAGTTGAAAACAATAGCCAAGAAAAGTTTACAGTTTTACATGTTCCCCACATAGGATTTCTTTGTTATTCAAACTGAGACCAGATTTTGTTATATGGAAGATGGCTGGAAAATAAGGATGAATATATGTACCGCTTTATGAAGTTTTGTTAACTTTTGCTGTCTAAGCCAATCAGAAGTAAGTACAGACAATAGAAAAGTTAGTACATTTTTCGCATTCCAACATGTTCGTTGGCGTTGTTGCTATCGTTCCTATCTGGACCGTTTCTTAAAAGTATATTAGAACCAGCGTGTCCCTCCCAACTCGATTTACATTGAGCCGGTCCTCTCCTCCCGTGAGGAATGCAACGCATTTGAGGACCTTTTGTTTTATAGAAGTTATTTTTGCCTTTGGAGAGATTTTTGTCAGCCAGCGTGTTCTTTTGCAGCCCTAAACTAGCGTGAGGAATGCAACGAATTTGCAGACCTTCTGTTTAAATGACCATCATTATGAATCAATTTTCCTGTCGAGCGACTCTTTTTCCTGTGCTACTCACTCATTAGATCTTTGTATTTCATTTAAGTTAATATTTTTTTAACCTCCGGATACATTCCGCCCCATTCTTGCGCTTTTCACACATTTTGCTTACTCCAATTTTTTCATATGTATATTACCATGCGGCATATTTTTCATATCCTTGATGATGCCGTTGATTGGCGAAAGCTCGGAATTTAATTTTCATTTTCAATTTTAGTAGTCAAAGGCTTCACTTGAACTATATTTTACTTTCCAACGTTTATAGTTTTGATTCAATAAAATATAGGTGCAAACTGGCACCAATTTACCATTAAAGACGAAAAAGCTAAAAGGCATGTTGTTATTTTTTAATGGAGGTGAAAGCCTAGAATGTACCAAAGTTTTTTTCTAAAGTTGAGTGCCATCCTTTTCTATAGCGAAATCCATTGTAAACCTCCAAAATCCTCTAACAAATCGCGAAGATCTGGATAGGCACATTCCTCAAAAGACAAACGAATTCGCCTCGTTGGCACTTGTCGGAAGGTACCCCTTGTTCTAAGATTTTTAAACTAGGGAGACTAGCTTAGAACAAAGTAGTGAGCGCAAGAAAGAACGAGCGCGCGAGGCTAGCGATAGACCATTACAGATACAGCAGAACCCAGGTAACTCGAACTCTGAAGGTGGAAACGAAAAACAGTTCGAGTTGGCGGGGAATTAGGATCATCGGGGGTAAATTTCAGTGAAATTTTGATCAAGGGAAAGGAATTATAGTTCGAGTTAGCGGGGCATTGAGGTTCTACTGTATCGACACTAGGCCAATATTATTTAGACCATGATAACATTTTTCATTTTTCAGATTTTTATGACGAACACATTTTTTTTAGCAAATATCTAAATCCGCACTTTTACTTGTATCACCACCGTACTAAGGACGAAACCTTAACAAACCACCTCCTTTTCCCCTCCTTTCTTGAAAGATTAGAGCAAACTGAACTAGGACTCTCTCCTCCGCAGAGGCTCCCGTTGGGTATCCCTATAAAAATAGCAATAATCGAAAAAATAGAAAGCGCGCCGAGGACGATGGGAAGAGGAAAAAGGCGGGAGCCTCTCTTCTTTCATTCCCCTTCCCATCGTGCCCTGCGCGCTGTCTTTTTCTTTCTCTTCAGCTTCCCCACAACACAAAGAGGCCTCTGCGCAGGAGACTGAGAGGAACTGGGATATATTTCTGGCATGGCTGGATTGCTAAAAGTGAGATGGAAGTTGGAAAACAAAAAGGAGCTTTGTCGCAACTGGGAGAAATGACTTATCTACATCATTGTAACTTCAACGTTTTATCGATCATACGCAATAACGCTCATGGTCTCTATATGCTTTTCAATTTAATTCTATTTTATTATTCACACTTTATAGGATATTTACATTATATATATAGTAAGGTAGGAATACACTAATAAAGGAGAAGAAGAAGGAAAAAAAAGGAAAATTAATGGCTTAGGTAGAAGTGTACGGGGGTCAGAGGAGCTTAGCCTTCGAGCTAACCACCGCTATATGATGATTGGAAATACATAATAAATGTGCGCTTGCTGCCATGGCAACTATGGACGATTATGCTAGCAGTCAGGTTATGTGAGACAGTCATATTACAATTGTTACCTTTGGGAGTTACCTAGAATTCGCTTATATTCTTTTTTGAACTTATGATAGCTAAGTGTTTTTATCTGAGTAGGAATCCCAAGTTTTGGTTATGGCAAACTTAAATGTATGTTTGACCTTACACGTGGTACATGAAAGTTAAGATTTGAGGCATATCTGGTATTGTGTGAGTGAATATCAGACACCTTTAAGAGGTAGTTTTGAAACACTTCAGGGATATTGGCTTCATCTATGTTAAGTATATCTAGAAGTTTGAGGTAGGGTGCACTACTTTCTCTATTATGGCTAAAAAATATGCAGCGTATACATTTGTTTTGTTTTGTTTGAACTTGAGTTAATCTACTTGGGTATGTGTTTCCCCAACTCATAATTCCATAATGAAGGTAGGGATAGATAAGTGAGTAATATATTTGTTTGAGGGTGTTTAAAGTTAAGAAATGGGGTAATCTGAAAAGGATTCCCAAGGTTTTAGATATTTTTCTGTTTATGTGCTGAATGTGGGGAGCCCAATTTAGATTTTTGTCAATGTAGATACCTAGATTTGATGTAGTTCTTTTCTTCAATATTGCGTAAATTAAGCTTAAGTTTATTTGCTTTTTAGGGGCAGGAGATTGTCATATAGTGGGTTTTCTTAAAGTTTACAGAAAATGTATTAGCTGAGCAGTAGCTAAGAAGATGGTTGAATTCCTCATTTATAGTTTTTTCAAGGTCTTGTAGAGAACTGGAAGAGTAGAGGAGAGTGGTGTCATCAGCAAATGTTCTAATATTTGCCTTTTCTAAACAATTGGGCATGTCATTGATATATATCAAAAAACAGAAGTGGGCCAAGGGTAGAACAACATTGGATAGAAAGTGAGTTTCAACTTCAACATACTGTGTTCTGCTTTCAAGATAGCTTTTAAATCACTGCAGAGGGACACCACGGATCCCGTATCTGTATAATTTCTGTAGTAGGATCTGATGGTTGACAGTATCAAACGCTTTAGATAGGTCAAGAAAGATACTGCATATAGCTTCATTGCTGTCAATTTTCATTTTAAGATTGTCAGTGAGGGCAAGAATTGCTTGCTCAGTAGAATAATTTTTCCTGAAGCCAAATTGGTGTTTAAAAAGAATGTTTTCCTTTTCTAGGAAATGACTTAGCTGATTGTACACTAGTCTTTCAAGGATTTTAGCAAACGGAGAGAGGACAGCAATGGGACGGTAATTGCCAGGGTCTGTCATTGCACCAGTCTTAAAGACTGGGGTAACCTTTGAGATCTTGAAAATATCCGGGACAATACATGATTCAATTGATTCATTAAAAAAGTTTATGAGGGGAGTTGAAAGCAGATTGCTGGCAATCTTGATTAGATAGTTAGGGATATCTATAGTGGCTTTGTGCCTAACAAGGCCAGATAGTGCTAACTTAACTCAACTTGCGCTTAATCCACCGGGGAAAGAGAAAAAATAGAGCTATGAGTTGCTGGGAGGAAAGCATCAGCTTTTATACTTGAGTGAATTGTAGATGCCAAATTTGGACCAATATTTATAAAGTACTCATTGAACTGATTGACAATGTCATGTTTGTCGGTGTAGGGTTTTCCATTGTAGTGTAACTTTGCTGGTACAGTGTGTCCCTTAGGTTTCCTGTTTATAATGGTGCCAATTAACTTCCATGTATTTTTTAGTTCAAATTGCTGCTTATCGTAGGATGACTTACAGGTCCATTTCAGCTTATTCAGAGTGTTTGAGTATTTTTTATGGTAAGCTACCTTGTCTAGATCTTTAGAAAGAAAGTGCGTGCGATACATTTTTTGCTTGTTTCTTATGGAACTTAATAAGGTATCTGTTATCCAGGGTTTGTGAATCTTTTGTTTTATACGGCTGCAGGGTATGTGTTTAATTGGCGCATGTTTATTGACTATGCCTTTAAGGTTTTCGACAAAGCTGCTGGCTTTAGTGTGGATGGCGGTTGGGTCATTGGATAAAGACTTGGATAAAGACTTGATGCTTGGATTGGTTTATGGGACTGACGAGGTTTAATTTTGTAGTTGAGATATAAAATTATCAAGATTAGACGAGGGGTGCCTGTATGTACATCCCACAATTATGCTAGGCTTGTGTTCCTGTAAGATTTCAGTTCCGCAGGATTCCGCCTCAACAGAATTAAAGCTTAAATCTGACCTATGAATTGCATTTAGGGAGGATGAGATGTAAATACCAACACCACCAGCCATTGTTTTAGAATCAGTTCTGTAAAATTTGTTGTTAAGAAAATCTATGTTTGCTGATGAGTTACAATTAATTCTAGTTTGAGTTACAGCAATTACATCAGGTATATTATCAAAGGAATAGAAAAGGTCGTGTAAGAGCTCGATGTTTTCTGGTAGACTTCTAATATTACAATGAAAGAGAAAAATGGAATCGTTATCTATGTCAGCTTAAAGGTTATTAGCATCAGTTATGGAATAGTACTCAGAGCTAGGAGCTGACAACATTAAATCGGGCCAGATTCTTCGAACTTGTCAGGATTTGGAAGGATATTGTACAAATCAACACCAGAGTTGATGTAGTCATTGACATTACCAGAACCGAGTACAAATCTAAATTCTCTTTCTTCTAAAACATTAAATAGGGTATCCAAACATTTGAAGAAGCCATTATTTAAAAACTACTAAGTCGTTTACAAGGAGGACTAACCAGATGTGAAAGTTTCATTGTGATGGAGCAATGAAGTCTTCGAATTCTTGAAATGTTGTAAATGTAAGTGTCTGTGAGGTTTCATGTTTACGTAGATAGATCTTACCATTATTCGTCCATAGGAATTTGTACTTGTTTTCCTTCTTGAATTTGTTTACCCTTCCAAAGACTTCACCGCGATACTGGGTTAGGGATTCATTAATGTTCAAATGTTCCGCTGGGGCCCGTTTCTCGAAAATCCGGTCGACTTTACGGTCCGGAAGCCATGTTTGAAAATCAAAATCTAAAGAATGGTAGCCCCGTTTCTAATCCCTACTCAGTCCAGTTTTGCAAACTGATGGTACTATTGGATAACTTCCAAAACCATTGAAAGCTCAGTCTTGAGTGCAAACCAAAAAAAAGAGTTCTGGGTCCGGTAATAATGGGAACATCCGAGAAACAGGCTCCTGAGCCCAGTTTGTCAAAAGATGCAAAACTGCGATTAAGTTCCAAGTAAACTTCAAGCCATTTAACAACGGAGAACATAAAATCTTGTCTAGCTTGTACTGAGAGACATTTCCATGTCATTCAAAACCCAAAACAAGACAATGTATGAGAAACTAAATGCAATGGAAGGCTAAAATCTTAGCCCCCTAGTTTAGCACGCTGAAATTGGAGGAACTGTGCTCTGAGCCCTGACCGACAATATGATCTAAGAATTGGTTCAATGGACTGTTTATTAGCTTTTATTCAAGGCGGAGTTGTTTTAAAGTACGCCAAAGGTTATAATTAAAAATTTGAAATAACCTAACCCAGCACTTTAAATTCAAGGATTTACAGTGGTTTCATAAATGTTTAAAAGCTCAATTAATTTAATTCATGCTTCTAGCAACGGAAACGCATTACGGAAATTGCAGGATGTGGCATTAACTCGGAAACTGATTAACCAAGCTGCTTGTGTCATTTTGCCGCTGGCTGCGGTATTATGCTGGTTAAGATTACTAATACGGTTTTCTAACGCATTGAACCGTCACTGAGCCTCGTACAAAAAGTTTTAAAAACAAGTCCCGAACGTGACATGGAAGCAGGAAGTGCTAAATGAATCCTGTATTTGCTTTATGCAGTCTATGTTGTTTTTTCAGTAAATAATTTCTAAGTGTCAAACGTTTGGGTACTGACTGGAAAGGTTAAAATAAGTGTAAGGATCTCGTGAGAAAAGTATCCCCTACTTTCGCTTTAAATGTTTGTACGTCCGGCGGCGCCTCGTGTTAAAGACATCATACGGTATAGTACCCCTCAAAGTTCGGACAAAGTATTACACCATATGTCATTAGAATTCAGAATTTCATCAACAGACTTAGATTAAAAGTCAGAATTACCTTGTTCAGCATAATAAACAGGAGAAAAGAAATGTAGTGCGTTGTAATTACTATTATATAGTTACGCCATGTAAAATCGTTATTTGAGGACCTATGAATATATGATCAACATTTTTCTGTGAGTGTTCAATTGCATTGAGATTTTTAAGCCTTCCTTTCTTTGAAAACTTCTACGAATTTAAGCTCTTTATAAATTAAACCTATAATCTATGGACAGAACCTTTTCTTTAGTGGCTTAGTTTTCCTGGTAGGTTTAGAAATTTTTTTTTATTATACCAAGATCTTACAATATACATGCACTTAATGTCAGATCCCGAGGGTTCGGCCGCAACAAAAGAATAACCGGAGAGAACCAAAACAGTCAACACAACTTTAATTCTTAAACCACTGAATGAATGATTTACAAAGTACTTTCCAGACTTTCTTTATATTATCTGCATCTTTTTCCTCCACTAGCTGCTGTTTCTCTAGTGGGATAACTTTAAAAATCGTTGCTTTTCGCTTGAGACTTCGTGTTTGTATTGTTGTGTTCATTCACGAAAAAGAAAACTGGCGGTGTTTTTCCCGCCTTCTGTCACATCACTTTCCACCATGCTTTGATCACGTGCTGTAATGAAGCCCGAGCAGGGTATATTGCTTGATGTATCACTATTGGGATAGATTTGATTTTAGTCCAGGCCACGTGACCAAGAATCAACCAATGGCAGTCCCTGTTTAGTTAAGATAAGGTCTAGGAATATAACAATACTCGATATTTCTTTTCACACTGATACATTGGCCTTCGGGCGATTGACTGACCACTAGCGTGGTGGACCGGTACTGAATGACAATGTGGTGACACCTGATCAATACTTTTCACATGGTATTTTACGTAATTTTGAAGCCTAGAGTAGAAATATTTCATGCAGAAATCAAAGCGAAAAATAGATACTTAGTTGGCAAGCTCCACTAAGTGCGCTCGTATCGCCAGATAGCAGCTATCCTTTCTAAGAGACACGTGGATCGTTTGGGCGGAATAAGCAATTATTAACACGACGTCTCTGACAGAAATAGAATAATTAGTGGATCAGCAGACAATACAATATACACGCTGATGTTAGAATGATAAAAGGTTAAAATGATACGCTTGTCATGATTGCATCGTCACGGACCACACCCTTTTTGCTGACGTCACTTAAGTGTGCAGATTATGCAATCTCCTGTTTATACTTCAAAAACATTGTTCAGTTCCCTTATATTCAAGCCATTTTTTAAAGCCAGGAATTTCAAGGGGCTTGTTCCTTAACTTGTCCGCATTCGTGGCTCTTGATCGAAAGAAAGCACTCATTCTCGAAATGCCTTTCAGCCCCGAGGCAGAATTTCAGCGTTTCCCTGGTGGAATTCCGAAAACAAAATAGATAGTAAACAGAATGGATGTTCACTTTTCGTTTCATTTCAGCTTTGTAATCGATATTTTCACTCAAGGATGGCTTCGTTATAGCGTTGAATAGTGTGTCGCGTTGACGAAGGGCTACCACTCGAGATTAATCAACTCACTCATATGTTCATGGCCCTGCATCTTGTTCAAAGGCCGATTAGCGCTAACCCGAGATTAAATTCTAATCCAGGGTTTTTTTTCTTTGGTTCAAAAGCATTTTCTCGGATTATTTTCTCTGTCCTTTTTAGGGCATCTAATCAGCAAATTACTGTAGACATAATAAATTAAACTGAATTTGCTTTTTAAGCTTTCATTTCTAAATTCATATTTCGCACTAAAACTCAACTGCTCAACTCAACGACGGTAACCCTATTTTGAACAACCCAAACGATAAATTTGAATTTTTATGGCAACCACATTGAAGCTCCTCAACTGAATCCCTTTACTCATTTGATGTTAAACGGTTCTTTGCTCTTCCTGTGGATGTTGGTAACAAATCACTTTTAATTATGTCTAGTTTTTCGGCAAACAGTTTTGTTTTCCTTTCGGTCTCCTTGTTTTGTCGAACTTCCCTTAAGAAACTGACTGCCGGTCGAGACTTTTGGGAAAACACAAGTAAATAGTTTTATATCTGAGGAACTATGCATTAAGGGCGCGTCCGCCTTATCGCTATTCCGGGATAAGAGTAAATTATGGAATTACCAGTAGGAATTTCTTGTCTACTTGGCTCTTATTGGGTAAGTTTCCTATAAAGAAATCTGGTTGTTATTAGCCTGCAGTGCAGGTGTCTTCTCTGGGCGCGGGAATGTTTTTGCTGGGAAAAGCGCCACATTAAAACTTCCGCAGAGAGGAGGAAATGGGGCCGCTCTTACCCCAAGGCTGGTTTACTATTTCTACTCTTCCCAACCTTCCTCTGTCATAAAATCTTTAATATCCATCTGGTTGTTTCAGATTCAATTCAGATTTGGTACAATGTTAATTCCTATCCTAGAGTACGATCAACGGTAGCCTCTTAGAATAACTTGCCACGAATAACACGGTCGAGACTTCCTTTCACCATTTATCGACTTAAGTTTAAGTTAAGCAATGATCTCCTTGATATCTCCAAAGTGCTAGCTATAAACATCACAGTTCATATGATGATTGGAAAATTAAGAAAAAATCATAACAATACGCCATTGGTTGGGGGAAAAGGTGTTTATTAACACACTCACACCGTTACAGACTAAACACCATTTCCTCTTGTACATACGTTTCGATCCTTCCGAGTTCTGGCAAGGAGAGCGCGGAAAGTTTCTGAACATTGGCTGGTAATGGAGCCATACTTACTAAGGAACTAACTGTACTCCTTCTTTTTCTGTTAAAAATCGATTTTAAAAAAAGTTTTGACTTCGATTGATAACGATTTTCGATAGAAAATCGATAATGATTGATTTATCGATTGCTTTGGATTACTATCGATTATTATTGGAAAAGGCTTAAGTCATTCAGTAGAAGTTCAACATTAACAAGATGCTGTCTTTACGGTATACGTATCATTGAGTTATTCAGTCGTGATATTTCTTGTGCACTTCTTTTAATGGATAAAATACTTAGAGAACAGAACACTAACAGAAACAAGTTGCTCTTTACTTTGATTTTAAGGTTAAGCGCAGTTCATAATAAGGAAGGAATTCAAAAATTGCTGCGATAGTGGTCGAGCCGGGGCAACCCTCAGTATCCTAGCTGTAGCAAGTCCACAACTGATGGAGCATGATAAACAACAAAATCAGTGTTCTTGTAATTTCAATGACTCGCATTAAAAAAGAATCGTAAGAATGAATGGTTAAGTAAACAGAATCATCGTCATGTTGTTGCTTGTTATCGAATACTATCGATTACTATCGATTTTTATCGATTTTTAATCGATAAAAATCGAAAAATTAGTTTTACCGGGACTTCGATTTCCGATATCAATCGATACCATGCCTGGATCACTGCACACAATAAAAAATTCTCTCTGAACGTCCTTGCTTTTGCTGAAGTTTCACTATTAAATAGCTTCATCATTTTTGCTGATTATTGCTCCACGGTCTAGTATAGGCTAACCGGCAGTTACACAGACCAAAAGAAAACATGATAGCTTATCAACAGACTTTGACGGAAATATTTTTGTTGACAACGAACCACCAAACGTCATCCTCCTACCAAATTTTAAACATAGTTTAATCCAGTGCTAGGTTGTTCTCTCCGCGTCACAAATCTATTCGTGTCTATTAACATGGCTATCTCCCGCAAACCAATAAAAATACAGACGGAAGCTTTTATTTTTAGCATACCACGTACTCAAGAACGAATTTACTGAGGCTATTTTCCAGTTTAATCACTCAAAAGTATGTGTTGAATTTGACTATGTCTTTTTTAAATAATAATTAAAAACATGTTGCTATAACAATTTTTTTTTGGTAGAAAATATTTTCCCACAAACTGGTCCTATCATTAAACAACATGCTTAAACCGTAGAGTTGAAGCTTTTTGTTTAGAAAAAACTCTCATGAGATGATTTATTCTATGCCAGTAATTAATTTCACTTTCTTCATGTCTAAAACAACATCAGGAAAGATTTTTTAAGCTTAGATCGGCCAAAAATCATGGTAGTTAGCTGCACTGCTCCTCAGACTATAAGAAATATGGAGCAGAGGCACCTAGCCTGGTAAGTGTTGAATGAACTGCAATGGATGGAGCTGGTGAATAATGATCAAAGTTATGTTTCGTTGAAATAAAATGAGTAAATACGTCGTGGTACTGTTTGTAGTAGCTTAGATACCTGATTTTTTTGTGAGGCCTTTAAGCAATATATTTCTCTTAGAAAACCCATGCTCACTAGCTTACTGACTAATTAAAGTTAAGCTTCAGTACCTCAGGCTTAGGGTTATGAGTCACTTTTGTGTGTCATTTGATCTGTTACTTTACAGGCTACCGACACCAGAGATCATGATGTTCCATTCTAGAAAAAGAGCCAGATTAAACAATAATAACAGGAAGATTTTAAAATGGTCAAGTGATACAGAAGTAGACAGCCCAGTGTGGACGAATGATGAGCGATGTGAAAAAAATTATAAAGTAAAAATAATTATAATAATAAAAAAAATAAAAAGATTTAGTCAATTATTCAACCTAAACCAAATCTGTCTAGGCTTCTTTTAACCTTACCTGTTTTGTCTAATTTATTATAAATCTCTAGATCTCATTCTTACTTAAACGAGTTCGGCTATTATTATACTAAACTAAGACACTCTCCACCGGCCATTGCATTTGATACGGAGTCTTTACAGCAACTGCAAACGTCAGATTTAAAGCTGACAGTTTCTCAAATAAGGAGACACACAGATCAAAACTGTACGAAGTAAGTCTCATGAATAGACCTGACATGAAACTGTAGCTATTGGTGTGTAGATGTGTAAATGTAACGGGAAACCTTGGTCATGTGGTACGAATTGACGTTAGCCCAAAACTTCTAAAATCTCTTCAACTTGGCAAGAAGGCTGGGACTAATATAGTACAGGGCTCATTGCAAAAGCGAGGGAGGTGTTCGACTTTTAAAAAAGTTTAGAGCTTTAATTTGATGATGTCAGGGAATATCAGCTTCTTTCATCGTAATAAGTGCATTAATTCACCTAATCAAGTCATATTACCTCTGTTTATATTGCTAGTGATCCCGCTTTCTAATCAGAGGCCCTTCTGTCTTCCGAAGAGCCAAAGTATTTGTGCTGAAGGTATCCTGTCAGTTTAAGAATAAATGACCAAACAGTTTTGTAAAAAGGACAAGATTAATGAACATACAAGAGCGTACGGCTAAGATGAGATATGAAGCTATATAGTTTATTGGAATGTGAAGAATTCAAGCCGAGAAGCGATATGCGGCAAATGCTGGCCAGGTCCCTGATATTTCCCTCAAGAGACACTTATCGACTTAGTAACGTAACTACTTTTAAGTTTTTCACTTCTTATCCTGTCAAGACAAGAGACACTCCCAAAACGAGTATTTCGCAATAGTGGTATATTACACTTCGGAAGCTTTAACGAGCAAAGAGTAAAATAAACGGAAATTGTTCACAGTCACTTCCGAGTTAATGATCTCTATCAAGCAAACGGACACTGCACTGTGGTTTGTTTCCCTCTGGTTTTTATCAAACTCATTTAAGTTACGGAAACGGTTGATTCATAACGGAAATTAAACTGCAAACAGAACGTGACTTGATTATCAGAAAAGATCACGAAGACTCATCATTAAGAGGGGAAAGGAATACAAAAAAAGGTGTTTCTTCCTCAGCTTCTCTTAGCAGCTCTCAAATCAATTGTGAATGGACATAAAATGGACCAAGAACAAAACATCGAAACCAAGTTGGAATACTCTAATAACATAAACTGCTTGCAATGAAAGAAATTTCAGTTATTGAGCTACAATAGTCATAATTCAATCCCACTAAAAGAGAGACAAAAAAATACCAGTCATTCAATTTACTAAAAGCAGATCAGTAAAGCGAATCAAAACTGTCTCCAAACTGTCCAATGGGGAAGTAGTTGACACTTTATCATAGCATAAAACACGATTTCTGTGGTGGCAATATTTTGTTCCTATCCTCCAAAATTACTATTTTCAAAACTTTGTAAGATCTTACTCATCCACAACCAAAGCTAAATGATGTTTGACACGTGAGGTTAACCGCAAAGTTTGGCTCTTCATTGCTTAGTTATCATATCCTGTCAACGTCAGCAAAGTATTTAATTTTAAACTGAGTTCTTCTTTTGTCGAGTATGCCGATGTCTTCGGAAATCATTACAGTACAGGCGTGAGCGTCACCAGAAACTTAGTCCTCAAGCTGTACATAGAGGTAAGAATAATCAAAATCATAGTAATTATTCTGATGATCGTTATAATAATAATCTCATCTTATGATTTTCTCAGTGTAAACGATAAAAGCCGGTTGAGGGACTGTGTTAACTTACAAAGGGGTTTTCACGTGGCCTGCGCTGATTCAAGACTAAAATATCTGATACCTTGGGAGATGCAGTAACAATATTGATGAATCTTATAAAATTTATTTATTTATTTTTTACAGAAACAAGCCTTCAGAAAGTTCAGTACTTGTCTATAGTATTCAAGATGGCAGGGATAGCATCTAATGGCGGCTTACCCCAATGCACGAATGCAGTCAAAAAGACGCGCTTTGGTAAATACCAGACCATTGGTGTTTTAAGTAAACATAAACTTGGTTATTTGAAGCGAAACAATTCACATTTTAAACTAGCAACCTGCTGAATTTGAAAGTGCCGGTAAACAATTAGCCCGTGACGTCAATGGGCCTCACCCACAATTCTGACGTCTGTGATACTGTTTGCGTGACAATGCAGTTTGATACTTTGAATTCTCTAAATATTAAGGTAGGATGAAAAATCCAAAAAGAAAAAATTAATAATAAAAAATCAAGTCTTTTTTAACACCTTTACTTTAAATGACATTAGCTTTGTCATGAGGAGGCTAAAACCTAAGCTTAAATAGTAGTTTGAATATAGTAACGGCTTTGTCCAGTCACCTTTTTTAAGCACAAAATAATTTATTCCTATATATATACCTAGAGTAGATTTTGCGCAAAATGGGAAAAAAGCATATCAAACCTTCCGAAATGTGTTAAGTTAACAACTACTTTTCACCCTTTAATTTTCTGCTGGTCTAAGGGTGAATTTCCACTGCCGCGTAATTTTTTACGTGCGCACGAGCGTAAATAAAATGGAAGTAATGAACTGAAGTGTGGCGCGTAAACGTTAAAGTTGAGCGAGGTTTAACTTTCACGTTTGCGCGCGACCTATCATACATTATTGCCTCTATCCCATTTACGCGAGTACGCACGTAAAAATTACGCGACAGTAGAAATCCACTCTAAGTGACTCGTTTAAAATTCCTCTCAACCAGCGGAGAATTTAGCCTAGAAAGGACATCACAGTTTTGCTTGTTGAGTTATATACAATGATTTTCAGCAAAAAGTCTTAACCGGTTTCTAAGCTCAGTATTAAGTCTGTAACTAATTCTAAAGTGTGAATGTATCGTTCAATTTTTGATGACACTCTCTGACGAAATTTTGAGTCATTATTTTGAGTCATTATTTTCTTGCATTGAACGTAAATTTGATATAAATTTGGTGTAATGCAGACTATAACAAAGACGTAAATTTAACCTCAACTTTATTGAACTTACTATTCAGGATAAATAACATGATACATCAAGTAAAAGATACAATAATAGTATTAAACATAGCCGGCGATGCAATGTAGATACGGTGGAAAGCTGAATGCAGGTATATATATTTATAAATCAGTGTGCGGCTGGTGCCTAGACGAAGCTGAAACCGGCATACGAGTTTATGTTTCTGATGGAATAGAATGACCCAGGTTAACATTAACTGCAGAAGACAAACTTGAAATATTTCGTTTTTAATAGTATTTAACCGATGTAGACAGCGACGAAGCTCTTTTAAGAACTAGCCTTTCTTTTTCCTTACAAGGGACTAATTCCAGTTTATAAAATGAATACCGCAGCATCAAAACCAAATTAGAGTGACTTTCAATTAACAGTATACTTACTACTTCAATTCACTTACTCCGGCAGTATTGTCAGTAACCATTTGTGGACTTGAGTCAGTAATAGTATATCCTTGTTAAGATAACTACTAAAAAACGGTCTTACACATTAACAACTGCATGCATAACAATAGTCAACCAAGAAAACGATAATTTCAGACGTCATTACTTACAGCACTGCTTCACTAAGTTTGTTAACTGTTCTATTAGTAGTTCAGCACGCGTCGATTAAAAATTAGTACACAGTAACATAATGGGCAATGAAAAATTAAATGTCTAGTTCGTGGACTCTGTGAAAAATGATCCTGATAAACAAATTTGGGGTGCCAAAAGGCCGCGTGGCGTGGCACGGTCATTTTCAATACTAAATCATGGTCAAAATGTTAGATTAAATCCTTAGGTGAAAAAAGCAAGGAATGCTTTATTCTGTGACAGAGGTTCCCAGAAAATCGTATCAGTCAAAGAAAGCAGGGACAGTCAGAACAGTGCTTTTGTACCATTCTGTTTACTCTTATAATATTATTTTTTCAGGTTTTGACTCAGCGTACTAATTTGTCTTCCATGATCATTTATATTGTTCTTATTATGGACGTTATTCTATTGTTTTTGATCTGGAACACAAGAGTTAAAAAAAAATCATCAAGTCTAACTGCAAGTTTACCTGTTAAGTTGATATCCTCATTTCAAAGCACAATTTACAGTCTTCATATGCATTCAAACAGTAAAGGACTTCAATATAACTGCCTTTCTTATCAGTAGCTTTCAATAATCAGGCTTTTATTTCAAGAGACTTTATATACAGAAATTCAACTCAATAAGAATTGATGTAAGATTATTATTCTTATCCCGTGACACCCGAAACACATTAATTAGTTGTTACGAAGTCCACTAATGACGTCACGCCCATTACGTTCGGATCGCGTGACAATGTAATATTCGCAAATTACTTCCGTTGAGGGCGGATTGTTTCGCAAGCTCTAATTATAATTAATTTTACGCTTTTCTGGTTGTATTGATGACCACATTAGATCTTGTTTTAGTAAATGAATCATAGTTTATAATAAGAAGGACAAGCAATACTTCTATCCTCCAAAATCACGATGTTGCTTTTTTAATAAAACCTGTCCTTTTTTTCTCCCCTGACAAAATTCATGACGTTACCTAAAAAAATGTTGCTTAAACTTTGCTTTACGTTTATGAACATTCTTCGAACTAACTGACCATCCTCTGCGATGAAACTGAAAGATACATTAAGTACATTAAGTACTTAAGGTTTACTTCGTTTAAAAGGAAAGCCCCAAACGGAGACAGCCCACCACCAGACAGCCAACCCTACGTCGACACAAATGTTTAACTTTCACGCAATATTCTTCGGTGACTTCTTTTTTAGATATGGCCACACAATAATAAATGCAGTCTTATCTCTCACGCGATCACACCACAAATTACTCCGCAAACCTTCGACTATAAATGAGTGCAAGTTACACTTTAATTATCACAGAAAGGTTAAAATAAAGGTCACTAAAACGAAGAAGACTTTTTGAAAAAAAGCGGAGTCTCTGGCAAAGTTTTTGTTCGGCCATTCACTCCAAAGTCACCACTGTCTTCAGTTTCTTGATTGTTCTTATCAGCTTTCCCTCTACGAATTTTTTTTATTCTCGGTAGAAATAAAAATATTAGCTCCAAAATCAATAAGAGAACTGTTTGTTGCGAACTAAGAAATCTCTCGCGTAAAACAATTACCGAAGGAAAGAATTTGTAACTTTCAAAATGGCGACCAGCTCGGTTACCATCCACAACAAGAACAAAATAGATCATTTTCCCATAACATATGTTTGTTTGTTGGTCGGATTTGGGAGATCTGATCTTTATAAGCCTTCCTGCCGGTTGTTATGAATTGGAATCAATTTGTTGGGAAAAATGTCTACGGGCCAATTATTAGAACAAAGTGATATTTTCATAGATATCATGACGCACTGTCTGATACCAACAGTAAAATAATCCGGTAGTTTTTTGTTGTCTGCTACAAAACAATCGTGCGAAGGATGAAACATAAACAACTGACACTTCCTTTTTTCAGGATTTTAGGAAATAATACCGGAATACGTCCGCAAATTTACTCGAGACCAGCCTCATTCAAGTGTTTCATGAACGCAAGACCAGTGTGGTCGAGGACTTTGTTGAGAGCTCATCTAACGAGTTGAGATAAACTTAACTTTTACTTTACTGCTGTCATCACTTTTGATTTAATAATTTGTCAGAAATAAACTCAGTGACAAGCTTTTCATATCAAAAGTAACGAGTAGTCTACAGAAAAGCAGAAATGCTGGAAGTGGATTGAAGCAATATAATAGACTTCCTTCAAAGGCCATTACATTGATAAATTTATGTTGCATGCTTGTTTTACAGTTTAATTGAATTGTAATAATTCTAATAAGATTCCAGTTTTCTTGTCAAATTTCCTTTGAACAAGCGATTTTTAAGGGATCTGCCTCATTCAGTAAAAATTTACAATAAACTCCGCACAAGAAAACAGATAAATACTTGAGAAATTGGTTGTTTCTTACTCGCTGAGCATAAGTAGTTCGAAGGCATGAAATGGCATACGGAATACGTCCGCAAATTTACTCGAGATCAGCCTCATTCACTTAAGTGTTTCATGAACGCAAGACCAGTGCGGTCGAAGACTTTGTTAAGAGCTCATCTAACGAGTAACTTAACTCTTACTTTATTGCTGTCATAACTTTTGATTTAATAATTTCTCACAAACAAACTCAGTAACAAGCTTTTCATATCAAAAGTGACGAGTAGTCTACAGACAAGCAGAAATGCTGGAAGTAGATTGAAGCAATAGACTCCCTTCAAAGGCAATTACATAACTTTATGTTGCATGCTTGTTTTACAATTTAATTGAATGGTAATAATTCTAATAAGTTTCCAGTTTTCTTGTCAAATTTCCTTTGAACAACCGATTTTTAAGGGATATGCCTCATTCAGTAAAAATTTCCTAAAAAACTACTCACAAGAGAACAGATAAACACTGGAGAAACTGGCTGTTTCTCAGTATTCGCTGAGTAGTTCAGTCAAGGGCATGAGATGGTATTTTTACTGCTAACGCGTCTGTTGAGATGAAAACTGTATGAAAAGGTATCTTTACCTTTAAGTGTTGTTTATCAGTACTTAAAAATAATAATTTTGGATTCTTTTGGTAGCTGGAAGCAGAATGATTTGTAGGATTGAGGAATCTTAATCGAGGGCAGCAAAATTATCTAATCATGAATAATATATAGTCCTCGCTCAAGAGGCAAAGCTAGGCAACTTAACTGATAAATGAATATAACTCATAAAACCTTCCATCGTTCTCTCGCAATTGCAAACAAGTTGATTAGCGCGTTTGTATCTTAGAAAGGCTGTCAAGGGACAGCTTCCTAGAGAAACAAAAACGCAAAATTTCTCATAATTCAGCAGATAAATATATATTAACTTTAATGACAGTAAAGCCTAGCCTAGTACTACTGTAGCTTTACAATCAGTATACATACAAACCTTAAATCTACGAACAAGAATAACAAAGTTTAGAAGAATCCACAAGTGACAGAAGTCGATATCGGTTAAAACAGTAGCAGCAGTTGTAAGATAACAAAAGTGTTGCAAATTTTATACGTATATTCCCCGGACTTAGTTTCGAGTAACAGAATTAGTTGCTTTAAATTTTTATGAATTAAAAAATCACTTTAGTTAGATAATCTTTTGACGATCCAAAAAATGTTCTGAACAAATTATCAATTTATCTTTACCTCATACAGTACCGACTACTAGATGTGTAATTGGCTAAATCAAAGTGTAAGGACATCAGATGAATTCTCTCTGAGCCGTTTGGTTCAACTGAAGCACTTTGGGTTCTGTCAATTTATAAGAAGGGATGACTATAGCTTTCAAAAGTAAAAGCAGAAGTTAACGTTCTCTCTGTTGGCTGAATAAATGCATGCAGATGGGATTGAGAAAAGGATTTTGAACAGAATTATTAAAAAAAAAAACATATTTTGTGAGACCCAGACGAGAGTTCACTGGCATTAGAAATTCTTGTAAACAGTGGCAAAATTCATAAACATTTGCCGATACTAATATTTTCCATATACAGTTATTACAGCACCTACTGTAGATTATACAAAAACGAATGTGGATAATTTCAGAGCATATTTATCCGGAATAAATTCTTTCAACTTTTGATACAAAATCACACCTACCAGGTTAGTTATAATCCAAGACAATCCATCATTTTCTTCATGAGATCGGACCTCCCAGTATACTCGGTAACACTGGGCAGTTGGTCTTATGATATTCCATTTAAGTGTACGGCATAAAATGAGCGTACAAATGTGTAAAAATACAGAAAACTGGCCTGAAAAAGAATTTGTCTGTGAGGCAATAACTTGTGTGAAAAATACAAAAAGAAACAAAAATAACTATTTGATAATCAGAGGACATACTAAAGCCCTTGTATCTTTTCCAGTGTTTAAATAAGAAACACTTATCGACAACATTTTTTAGAAAATGCACCAGTTTGACTAAAATTGAAAAAATTGGAACAAAATGCGCATTTTATAATCGAGTGACATTTGACAAGGTTGAGTGAATTGAGGTGGAACCTGTTAGTTTAGTCAAGGCAATTTGTCTTTTCAAACCGTCAGGATAAAAAGGCTGACTAATTGTACTTATCTCAGAACCCGAGGCGTAATTTCATTTCTTTTGTACTAATAAAATTGTTGGGACCAACCTAAATCATCTTTTTTTGTCTTGAATATCGTCACACTGCAATGCGTGAAATATACTTTGGACCTCTTAAAAACCCAGTCAACCATGGGATCTGACTACCTGTATGTCACCAAAGATTTCACAATAGCGGAATTGCATTACGGAAGGCCGCGAAGAAGAAACATTTGAAAGAAACGGAAGTGATCTCAATGGAACACCAGCGAAGCTTTCAACAATCACGCAAACAAAAATTGAAAAACGACCGAACTATATGACGGTATTGCACTTTTAGACATGATTTTGGTGAATTGTTTATATTTTGTACGGTTATTGCATTTTGTTATATATTGCTTTTGCCATTTTAGCCCTGTTTAGATTTAACCATTTTCACGTGTTTATCTTCAACACTGTATTTCTTTACTGTTGTAGATCCATAGAAACTTTGGATTCTCTTGCACAAATTACAATCGATCCACTTTTTCTGATTTACGTTTAAGAAAAAGTCAGGCCCAGTACCCCTTAATGTAATGAAATAACTTACAGAAAATCAAAATGAAGTTGGGATAAAAAATCTTTTCCTTTTTGGTAATTGGTTTATAAGAAAGAGGCATGTCCGGGAAAATACTTATAATCGCGTTTTTAACTATACATTTATGTGTTCTGTGTCATGTGATTAAGTAGATTTGAACTGTTCACAAGTCACGAGCGGTGAAAGTTCTCTCTCCCGATCGATTACCCAACCAAAACTGGCAATGAGATAACCTATGAGCTACAGTTACTAAACGAAATTGTAGTTATTAAACTTCTTCCTCTTCTTCGTCTTCTTCAGCTATCTCTGTGTCTTATTTCGTACCTTACCTTTGTCATTGATCCAAAGTGTCGATGATCTGTCAAAATGTTTACTTAGCCCTACCAAAATATTTTGAAGATTCAATTCTCAAATTATATTTGCGTGCCGTTTTATTGATCTTAATTTCCCTTCAAATGCTGTACATTTTTTCGGCTTTGCGTTTTTTCCCTTTTCTCCGTTAATTGGTCTCACAAATAACATCCACAAAAACCAATAAACTGAGCGGTTAGCTTTTGGTCAGAATGGCACCTATAACATTTTACAGTTGTACCTGGCCTCACTCTGCCAGCACGTTTTACAACTGTATGTCAAATAAAAATCGCCAGTGATTCATTATGATCAGACCTCGTCAACCGGCGAAGACGAATAACTTAGTTGCACACCGTAAATTTCTGAGAGAAACCCCGTGGCTAGTATTCGGAGGTGCTCTTTTATTCGGGAGGGAGAGGGGGGAGGGCTTATTTATGGACGGGACGGAATTTGTACTTCAGAGAATAGAGAAGTGAGTCAAAGATGCATCATGAGCGTCTTAGAGCTGGAACCAGGGGAAAGTTTTCTTTAGATTAAAATGTATCATGCAGCGCCTCCGATACACGAGTAGGCATGCCCTTTATATTACGTAAATTACATTGAGTTAGAAAATACGACATTTTGCCCTAACGAAGAAAATCTTTTTCTAACTAAACACAGTTATCCAAAAATCTGTTGCTTCTTCTTCTTCTTCTTCTTCTTCTTCTTCTTCTTCTTCTTCTTCTTCTTCTTCTTCTTCTTCTCTAGTTCCTCTTCTTAATTGGCTTACTCTGTCTGTACTGCTTCATATTAATAATACTTTGCCTGAATATTACTGAGGAAACATGCAATCGTATGTACCATATTATTTTAATCAGTTTGCCTGTTTGTGTTCCTTCCAATTTTACTGATACGTCTACACTCGCACGTACTCAGTTAAAATGTTATAGAAGTAACCAATAGTTTTTAAAACTGTGGTAAGCCGCCGCATCCTAATAAAAGTAATGATAATTAACAATAATAGTAATTATTATCTATTTATTAGGAAAATCTAGGATCAGGCCACGCAAGAAAACAAGCAATTGCCAAATTTTATGAAGACTTTGTTTTCTTTTTCTATTTTCATCTAGCGAGATGACCATAATCAAGATACGTCTATTTTAAGTGATGTTGTTGTTATAAACTGACGTTGGAAACAAGGAAGACCACCCATGGCCGGATCGTATTTATGAAAAGGTTCATTTAAGGCTTGAAGTAGGAGAAGAGAGAGCGGCGTCAGAGTGTCTTCAAGAACCAAGAGCAAGTTTTATTTAAGAGAGTGGAAGAGATATTTGCCCGCTGTTGTGGGCACAACTTACTTAAAACGAAAAACAAAACATGATGATGTAGTTGAATCAGCAGTATGCTATACGTGCAGAAAGTGGTACGTAATTATGCAAATATATTAGAAAGTCAGTTAGAAAATACAAAAACAATAAAGCAGTACGGTAAATGAGAAATCTATTTACGCGCTTCTTAACACAATCAAGTTTGCAGCCGTTAAGTAACAAAAGCCGGGGATCCATGTAGAAGAAACTGACCTCAGTCTACGAACTGACTTGCGAGCAAGTTCAAATAATCTTTGGCACCCATTTTTTGGTCGTATATGTTACTATCCAATCCTTTCCGATCCGACAAAAGCTAATTAAAATGGCTGTATTATTGCCTATTAATCACTCGCCTTAATTGCTGTTGAAATTTAGATTTCCTAAGATAAGTCTTTTTAAAGACTTAAAGGAGTTATTAAAATAACAGCTCTCCTTCTTGAATTGCCCTCCTATCGTTTACCTGCAAGTAACTGTGTTGTTACTTACCATTTATTGGATGATTCCACCGATAATTTTCGCAAAAAGAGTCTTTGTGCGAAAATTATCGGTAGAATCATCTGATAAATGTCCTACGCACCGATCTACTGTTTCGAGCTATCAGTTTCCATCGAAAACCTATACTTCTTATTCGGTGTTTTATTATGTTTTTTGTTTCCTGTTCCGCACTTTATGTTGTTCATAGCGGGTAACGTTTATTCAAACAAATTGTTAGCACCAACAAAAACATTGTACTGCTGATAGCGGAAAACGTTTATGGTTTGTGTGTAAATAGAGCACGTATTAAGTCAACAGGTTCTGTGCAACCAATACATTTTAATGCTGTGGTTGGCCACAACAAGTGATGTTTACTTCATGCTGTAAAACAAAATCTATTAAAAATGTTTAGGACACGTATTACAACCTATTAAAAGACCATAAAAGGCTGCTAAAAATTCCTCTGAAACAATGTAATTTAACTTTATATCATAGAATTTTTTTTTGGAACTTACTGCAGCGAAGTGCCGTGCTACTAATGTGAAAGCAGAGCATGACTCTGAGCGTGTCAGGAGAATCAATTTTAATTTTCATAAGTAACTTTACAGTTGCCTTTAACTAGATGCATCATGACACCCAATAAACTTTTAATACCCGTTGGATTTTCTTTAAACCATTTCTGTGTGTTTATATAGGGCTATCGCAGTCAGCTGCTATAGTTGACTAGCAAGTTCCACACTGGAAAACGTACTACATTCTCAAGGAATTACTTCCTTAATTCCGAGGCACGAGTGGCTTTTTGTTTTTGGTTTGCGGTTCAGTTTTTGTTTTAGCCGAAGTACTTTATCAAAACCTATTTCTTCTCATTGAAATATTTTTCTGGTTAATTCGGGTACCGTATGCAGTTTTGTTGTTTTTTTTTATACATGTTAGAATGCATTTCTCAAAATAAAATTCTTATTTAGCCAGTTATCTTTTAGATTTTTCCACTGAGCTCGGTCCACAAATATTCGGCGTTTTTAACAGAAAAATAACTAACTGTTCGCACAGAATATACGTGAACAGAATGAGCTTGCTAGCATATTTTTAAGCGGTTTGTTTGTCGAGTGAACAATGTGAAGTTTCACAAGTTTTATTCTGCTCGAGTTCATATCTAAATAAATCTCAAGTAAGGAAATTTACTAACGTTTTGCAGGGGCAGCTTATAGACTCTTTCACCCAAAGAAGCGCGCGTTCAAACTAAAAAAAGGGGAAACCTGTGTACTGAAACAACGCTATTATGCTTGAATACTTCAAAGGAGGGTTTTTGAATGTTCGTCCAAACACATAGAGTAAACTGTCTCTATTGTGTCTGAAACAGCACAGATCTACTAAGTAAAATTGCAAATACAAAATTTTTCAAAAATTTCAGCGTTAGCTGCACGATCCTGAATAATTCCGAATTATTAAAATGGCTTTACTCGTTGCTGTCCTTCTGGTAATAGATTATTATTATAATGAAAAATATGGTGTATGCTACACTAATTTTAAAACCTGGCATCTACTGGCGATCAAATACAATTTGTTTAGCTAAATGTTGAAACATCTGAGTCAGTGACATCTTATGAGAGTTTTTGAGTTCTTTATGAATAGTTCAGATCATGTTCATGTACACAGACTGAATGTTCAATACTGCCAGTAAGAACCTGTGACATTTGAAAATAAACAAACGTTTTCAGAATAGTTACCAGCAGCAATTGTCTCATTGGATACGGTGTTTTTTAGACAAACACAACACACTTTTGGATGGATAAATTCTATGATCGTATCAACGACGATTAGTGTTGATGCCGACTCAAAGACACAGTCACCTCGTAGTTTATTTTTTAGTTGACCTAATGCATCCGTTTCTTCATGGCTTCTCGGCAAATAAATGACGCTGAATGGTGATAGCCGTGGTTGTATTATTCATCCCGGCAGTTATTTTGCTTGGGTGCGAGCGCCAGAAATCCGGTCGAATGGCACGTACCACATTTTTCGCTAGTGGTGCAAGTGCAAAGAGGAATGAGCTATCACTAAGAAAACAAAGTCGATTAGTTTCGTGGAAGATTTCAAAGAAACACACTTGGAATGGGAATGTTTTTTGTTACCATCTTTTTGTTTTCGAAAGATCTGCGTTTCAATTAAATTGCAAAGTTTGCAAATTTGACCTAAGGTGGTACGAGACTCTGTAAGGTTCAGGAACGAAACTTAAAGTTAGTGTAACATGTATGATTTGGGAGTTTTAGACAGAGCAACTTGCAGCTTTGATTTATTTTATAGGACAAGCCGAGGTGTTCTCATGTACTAGATCTGGTTAATGAATTGTTTAGCCCTATTGCTGTGAATATTAGAAACTCAGTCAACCATTTGTGTTGTACAATCCGTATGTCACTGAAGATTTCACAATAGCGGAATTACATGATAAATGATCAATATAGCTAGCAGCAAAATATCTCAAAGAAACGGAAGTGATCTCAAATGCATGAGTGAGGTTATACACTCTCACGCAAACGGACATTAAAGTCGACGAAAATCTTCTTTTCCTTGTTCACTTGCTAAACCTATAACATAGAACTGATCACCAACGCCTACGTGACTCGTAGGCACAGTGATCACACCACATAGCCAATTCAAACTAACTGTATCTAATATCTTGGTAATACTTTTAATTTTACATGTAACGCGATCGCGAACATCATCAGATATCAGGCGATAACATATTTAGACATGATTATGTTGCCATTGCCGTCTGTGTTTGTACCAATATTCTGAGTCCCCACACATGCCTAATTTTTTATCACTATTGTCATCATAGCTATTCTAAAATTTCAATACAGGAATGTTTTTTCTTTAGGCATTTCTTAACTTTTCACATTAAATAAAACTTCCAGCCCAGCCACTCAAATCAAAATTAAGAAATAATGTACAGTAGAAAACTTTTCAACCTAATTATTAGATTTAATGAAATAGTAAAAAACCATGCCACTGTCGATAAATGAACATCATTTCCTTTATGACAGTTATTTGAAAGGAAAAAAGGCAGGGCTTAAAATAAAACTACGCAGCCCACTTTGATATAAATTATTGTTACTACTAGTGACTGAGAATCACATCTGATCATAATACTGTTATATAGCCCATGTTAAAGTTAACAAAATCAGTTCTTCTCACTTTTTTTCTGCTCACACGACTTCGTGTTTACTCCGCTGCTAACTCTTTCTCCGTTGTGTCCGATTCTTACTTAAGACTTTATCGTTTTCTTGATTTGTAACCGTTCAATTGATTATATTAAGTTTGCTCGAAATGAATTGCTTTTTAACTTTAATCGGTGAAAATCATTGAATAAAATATCTTTTGACTGGTTGAGCTGTCTTTTCTTTTCCAATCCTTTACACTTCTCCACTCTTTTTTGGCTTGCTTTGTGCCCCCCTTTCCCTTATGTTTATCCCGTAGTGTCTCATTTTAGCAAATTGGTAGCTCATAAATCTTATAGCGGAAAATTTTTGTGAAGATTTAGAGCACGTATTCGGACAAACGAATATATTATAACATGCAAACATTACACTTTAAAGCTGTGGCTAGCCGCAACACACCGCATAATGTTTCCTACTCTAATACGAAAAAATTATTCCAGTATAATCAGGATACGCCGAAATAATAATACAAAAATCTGCCAAAGTTAGCGAAGTTTTAACGAAGTGTTGTAAGCTATTTTTTGGTTTGTTTTCGGTCTTTTTTTTGACACCCATAACCAAACATATTTTTACTAGTCAATGACACACTTTTTTGTTGTCGAATTTTGACTTCCTCAAATAACCCGACTAAATCCTTTAATTGGAAGAGTAAAGGTCTTTCTTTTTTATCAATATTATGATTTAAACGTTTCCATCCTGAACACCACCATGACAACTTATCCCAAGACTATAACAAAAACATAAACAAGCCGATAAATCGCTTATGATCCCAAGCCGCGACGGGGTCATTGAATGTCTTGTTAACGATATTTTTTATACCTTTGTTTGTTGCAATTCGTTTCGGTTTTACCAACGCACTGCACAGCCCAATGAACAAGGACCAATAATTTGTTGAAACCTTTCGATTGCCCTCACTTTAGATTCATTCTTTTATAAGAACAAAAGAAGTCCACGCGTCACTTGCGTTGGCGGATATCACGTCACACAAGACGCTTTATATTTCTGAATTTATTCTAACGTGCGATATTCAACGACCTTTTAAGTGTGAATTTAAAATTAAACAAGCGAGGCTTGTCATTTCTAATTTCCCACACCCGAAAGTTCTTTCAAAACAGCCAGTTTTGTTTATGCGCACCAAATTCCCACTACATAATAACCCCAAATAGAAATTCTCATGAATGTTTGTAAATGTTTACCGGAGCTCGCCGTTACTAAGAACTACACCCGTCCTACCACCATGTACTTTACAGAACTAAAGAAGACTTGAAATCTTGCTAAATGAAAACAGAAATGCTAATTATAGCAAGTAAAAGCTTTTAAGTTTCGGATTATGATGGCATTATTAACTTAAATAACTTTAAACACCTCAAAAACGATGTTTTTCTGTGAGGCTGTTGTTTATTCAACCGTGTCGTTTTCATTCTTTCAGTCCATTGACTATTAGGAATGACGTCACAAACACTCGGTTAACGTCGGAGAATTATCGACTGACGACATAAGTGTTTCCGGTAATAGCTTGACAATAAAAGTAAACGTATATTAAGGATCGGAACATTTAGCGCTACGGCATATCCGTAACGAGCATAAGGCTAGTCGTTGTTGAGATCGAAGCAAGCATGTTTATTCAGGTACCCGATTCTGTGAACAAATCCCTCAAAAGAGGCCATGTTCCAAGAACACAGATTCACTATCCGAGATATTCCTTTCAAAATCAAGTCGCTGTTAACGCTGTTTGGATAGGCAGCGCTAACTCCGGCGTACACGAGTCACGAAACATGTTAGTTGGTGGACACGATCACTGCAATTGTGGAGTAGAGCAAGTGAGACCCGCAATTGGTCCCGGCTGGATCCCGTGGAATCCCGCGATGGTACCCACCCACGAACAACACCGAATGTGTCGAGAACTTTATAGTAATTTAGTTTGTCCACAAAGCGCAGTTACGAGGGAAAGCATAGTTAACCAAAACAGGCAGAATTTTTTTACCATAAAAGAAGAAGTGTCAGCTGACAAAGAGGATGAGTGTAGTGAAGAAGATGATATCGAAAGCATAGGATCGCCGCGCTCATTAGCTTCTTCAGGCTCCACCAGTAGTCGCGATGATACCTTGATTAACCTCAGCTCAGAGTTGTTGAGCTCGTCAAGGGCACAAGCACCTGCTGCCAAGCCACGCTCCCAACAGGTAAACCCCTGGGGTAAGGCTTCATACTCTGACCTGATCACAATGGCCATAACATCCACGGACGACAATATGATGACTTTATCAGACATTTACACTTGGATTGTCAAGAACGTGCCGTATTTCAACGACAAAGGAACTTATTTATCAGTGCAGGGTTGGAAGGTAGGTCTAAGAAAGTTCGGTATTATGTAACACCACACTTGTTTTTCGCCTCACTGCTAACAGTTCTCCAATCCTCTTAACACGGCAGTTGTTAAATTTGCGTTTATGTCTTCAAACATGCACAATTTAACAGTTAAATAGCCTCAAGTTTAGAAAGTACATAACCACTTTACATTTTATTAGGATATGAAAACCAAAAAAGATCCGAAAAGCTCATTACTTAAGTCACTCTTATGTCTAACGAAATTGTCACTGAGTTACTGCCCTTAATAAAGCAAATTTGATTTTTTTCATATTAAGTCACCCTCCACTAAGCACATTAGGAATACCTTGTGCTTTCATTTGTTGTATTTAGAATATTTTATTCAATTGCTGCTAGTTTACGTAAAAAAGAAATTTAAAGAATTCTTCTAGAATTTTATTATAAAATGTTTTTAACGTCAGTTTTTTCATTCTTTCATGGGAGAGGTAACGCTATTTTCTACAACACGTTGCTGGAAAACGAGCTATAATGATAGTTTTCAAAAGGAAGGAAAACCAGGATTTCGCCCTTGACTGTGAGAAAAAAAACGCAACCTTAGAAGAATAATTCAGAATATTTACTAAAATTGGGATCTTAGAGAACTTTGCATAAAATTAAGATTGCACAAAACTAATGTTTAGTTGTAAAAAAAGTAAATGAATAAATAAAAATAACCAGGTAATTGTTTGGATTTGGATTTGGACCAATATGTCACCATTGGTTTAATTTACGCAGTCAAGAAACAAAGGAATATTTATATTTGAGTGATTCGTGACCAAGAAACTGAGTACTGGGTTGACCAACGGAATACTTAAAACAGACATTTCCGAGGCTGTTTTCCGCTCTCGTCTCGGGTTTAAGTCTTCCTGTGTACGTTGCGATAATTTCATCTTCAATAAAAAAAAGCAAAACCGATGTTTTATGGCATCTATGATTGCAACAGTATCAGTTACTGCTAAATTCGTCTTAAAGTAAATCGGGGCATTTTCTTATTGTTGGGGTAAACGCCTGAATTAACGAAATTTTCTCGCTGGTTCCAAATCATCGTCGATTGCTTTCCATTGCCTGTAATTTTTGTGAGAGGAAAGCCTCAAAGCTTCTAAATCCTCCGAAAATCCTTTGTCTCTTTGAAATCTAGGAAGAGTGGAATTTCTTTTTGAAAAGTCTAGGAGAAGCGATGTGCAACACGGTAGAGCCGAGTGCTCTAGTAAACCATTCGTAACAACATCAACTATTCACGTCACATGACAACTGCAGTTTAAGATGATTCCGAAATGAATTACAGAAGTTAACAGAGGGTATAGGAATATTTTCCTATGTGCAACTGAAGCTAAAACGGCTAAACCGTTTTCGCTGATACATATTTCTTTATTAATGATGGAAGATTTCTTCATTGAATCTGATCATTTCAAAAATGAAGTCAATGAAGTAAGGGAAAAATATAAACTTAGAACGCGGACTTCCTACGTTAAGGTCTCATGACGCACCCCTGACAATATCGTAAGCACTCTCTTCTACAACGAAACGTTTTAAACTGAAACGCGCCATAAAGTTTTGCCAACGGCAAGAAATTTCCAGAACTTGTTCATTCTTTAGAACCGTATTGTTTCCTCTTGATAAACACATAAATTAGCTGTAGATTCACGTTCTTGTGCTGAGTCAGTTAAAGCTAGAGATAGTAAACACAATGAAACTCATTACAACAGGAAGTATAAGGTCAGGGCATATTTAACGACGATATCGAACTTAGCTCAAATTTAGTACTACCTTAGCAATGACAACGCATTTTATCTATTTTTTTTCAACACGTGTGCGCGTCTTGTGAGGTCGTACTAAAATAACCTCTATTACAGAACTCTTATAGTGATCTAGTTTTAATTTTGGCCCGCGCGTAGGGTGAATTGATTCTGTAGCCAGCCAAAGTAGTGGGAGTTTTAAATATACCTGACTAGATTTAAGTTTAATTATCTTAAGGCAACAGTTCAATGTAGATTTAAGCTGTGCATACTGATCTCGCACTTTAGGTTACATTTAATCTATCACATTATCATCAACTTAACATCATCTCGAATCATGATTAGGTGCAAACCACTCGAAGTTGGTCGATTATCTTAGATGTCTACGTCAAATGTTCTTTCCCCAACCTCCCACACTTGTTATAATTCATCTTCTTCAAGTCCTTCATATTATTCACCTATTGTCATGTGCTGTAATGTAATGTTTCGGATGAGAGGGCAAACGTACGTGTACTAGTTAACATTACAAAACCGAATACTGAGCGAGCTAGGACATAAACATGCAAGAGCGCTGGCAACTGGCTTCCGCTATCGGTCTATTTATTAGCTTGTAAACAGTAACCCACTCAACCCATCATGTGTGTCCTATAATAATAATCAACATTATATCTTATGATAAATCTAAAAATCATTTTCTCTCTCGACAGAACGCGGTACGTCACACTCTATCGCTCAGAAAGCGTTTCGTTCGAGTCCCAGACCCCAAGCGACCATATAAGTCGATGTGGACAATTTCGGATGATTATCAACGAAACCATCTGAAAGACAAACAGAGGCACTTAAAGATGAAAAGAAGAAGTGAGAATGCACAAGGAAGTAGTCAAACAATGGATTTAGATGAGGCAGCGTCTTGAAAGAGCCAAGATGAGTTAGCAAAATGATTAAGGCAACAGAACTATGATCTGTGATCTCCTATCCGAGCCAATTCTATAGGAAAGAAAAATACGAAAAACCCGTTCAATGACGAGATCATCGACTTAGGGAGCTCTGTCATGAAACTCTGAGTCACAGATTTGCAACATACAAAGATATCTTAAGATTGAAAAAAAAATATTTATTCACCAAACCAATTGTTTGGTAAAATGGAAAACTACCAGAAAGGTAACACAAACACTAAGTACAAGGAAAGGCGAGAAAAAAAAAAAAAAAAGAAAAAGAATTGAGGCCAACTTTTTAAGATGATGACAACGTGACATAGCTCCTTAACAAAAGTCGGTGGATTGTTTTCTTTCTGAGAAGCTAGAAAAAAATCCACCCTGGGAATGGCAGGGGATTGAGAAGCGGCGGTGAGGGGAGCGGGGTGGGGGCAGAGGTACTCAACGGATTCAACGTGACGGGATAATCAGTTTGGGCAGAAATGCAAACAAAACAGCAGCCTTGGCTCTAAAAGCGAGAAATGTAATATCCCCATAACTAAAACACCCGAATTCCATTTTTCTCGAGTCTCGAGCCTCTCACATGCAAATAAAAGATCGTCCTATCCGACCAAAAATCTCAAAATCGCAAATTGCGAACCAATAAAACTTATTATTATTTATTATTTTCATCATCATCTTCATCATCAGGAAAAAATTTCAATCAGGATTATTCCCCACCCACACCACCATGGGAAACACAACCCACCTTTTTAGCTCTGGTTAGAGGAAACCATCGTACCAGACTTAAAAATCAATGGACAATATTTTTGAAATGTGCATTTACCACTTACATGCATGCGCTGTATTTTTTATCATTAACGTTATGTGTAAATATTAGTGTCTAGTATTGTATTTTTATAATTGTTAACTGTTAATAGTAGAAGGCAAATTATAAAAGAAAATTATTTTAATTTGTAATTATATAAATTATATGATATATAAAACAAACCGTAGAAAAGAGATTTATTCTTATATCAAAGATCTGCTTGTATAAGGCGAGATGTGATAAAAGTAAATATATTTGTCTTGTTATAATAAATAAGATGAGCCTCAGTAAAAACTCAGTGTTATATTTTTGTCCACTTTTATTCCGTCCTCGGAGGCTGAAGTGCCCTCCTGTCGTCGGGTGTGGGAAAATACGTGGGAAGGGAGCAAAACCTTCCTCCCCCAAATATCCAAAATTTAGCCAAACCTAAATGCGGAGCTCGTGTTCTTCTATATTGTCATCGACTGAAGTATAAGCCATTGCAAATAATTTCCAAAATCATGCTAAATTCAACGTTATGATGATACGTCCATCGCATTTTGGTACATAATAATATGTAGTAAACTTTGGTAGAGAAGGAACTTGATTTAAAGGCAAATAAAGGAAAACGAAAACGATTTCGTTAATTGGGGAGAATTTGGGAAGGTTAAGGCAGGCTAAGTTGTTTCGTCTATTCACTCATCAATTACACGTGTTAGGTCTTTCGTGTGAGTAATTTTCGGATAAGTAGCTTATATTTGGCTGTTTTCACTTTTCAGTCTTTAAGATTCAAGGACGCGATTGGACGCGATGACATGCCGGGTACCCTGCGAGCAGTGGTTTCTCCAGGCCGGACGCTACGTAGCGTTCGGCCTGGAGAAACCACTGCTCGCAGGGTGTCAGCGAAAACGTCGCTTAAAAAGTGAATTTTCTTTCCTACAGTCTTAATTGCGATTATTCCTACCCATTTGCTTTGTCAAATGTGGGCGAACCTTCCTGAAGTTGAATTCCACAACGGACAATATCCAAGTTCAGGAAGAGAAATATTATTTCGTCGAGGCTTGTTTACGTCCTCCATAACACGTAAAATTAGGCAATTTCACGTCGTAGTTGTTCACAAATTAAATGGCAAAGAAATGTACAAAAAGGCGTGATGCATGTGAGAAGCTATTTTTGAAAAGACAGGTGAGTTGAAAACTATTACAGTTTGTGTTTTAACGGTTTCACTGACGTTCATAAGCTAGGAAAACTAAAGATGAAGCACGATAAGAAATTAATTGACTATTACACTTTGTCTATAGAAAAGAACTACAAACCTTGACACACAACAGACGTTGCAACGGCTAACCCACACGCTTAAAATTGCTTAACATTACCTCGATAAATCAATCTTATTTATTTCTTTTGTCTTAAAGTGATACTATTAGCAAACTAGATAGCCATAAATGGATATAAGCAGTTCTTCAGATTTCTCTTTATAACTTTTTACTATAATCATTTTACGATTTCGCTGCTCGTGTTTGCGTTGAAAGGTGAGGCAAAGAAACTTGTATCACCCACGACCCACGATTCACGACCACTCTACCCACTAATTTATACCCCGTGGAAGTTATTTTTCACTGGAAAGCACGATAAGTAGCAACATTTCAGTTTAAGAGTGTAAAACAGTGATTCATATTTTCCGCTCTCTCCAAGTTAATTCTTTGAAAGTTTACCTCTTCTTGGTGCTTTCTTCCATTACTTTTCATTGCTAACAAAGGTCAAGAGAAAAAAAAAATCCTAGCTTTCCCTTGCACCTAAGACCACTAGTTCCATTGGCTGCAATCTCCTTGTCATTGTAGACGAAGAACTTAGAAAAAAGAAAATATTTTTGTTCTACAATACCATACACGTGGCTGCCGAAGAGATTACCTTAATTTTACACTTCAGGCGTTCTCTTACGGCTTAACGTTAAATTATTTCCAGGAGATGTGGAGACCGTATCTAAGTGATTCACACTTAGGATATTATGTTTGTTCTCCACATTTTGTGAATTGCTTCGTAATAAATAATAATAGATTAGTAAATAACATATTATTTCAGTGCCAAAGTATTTTAAGGACGCTCATTAAAATGAGTTTGTATTTTATATACTAGGAGGCAATAAATGAAATTCTATAGGAAAATTCATTACCTGACGAGGGAATTCCACGTTAAATTGCACGCGAAAACCGATATCGCACGAATCGCGAAGCGATGAGTGCGATATCGGTTTTCAAGTGCAATTTAACGTGGAATTCCCTCGTCAGGTAATGAATTTTCCTTGAATCGCATAATTGAATAAAAATCAGAAGAAAAAAAAAGAAAACAGCAATAATATTGTTTGTTTTTATCCTGAGCGCGCGCTCCAGAAAGCCATTTCAAAGTCAACTGTCAGAACTGTCATTGCGTTAGCGAATAGGAAGCAAGGTCAGTCGTACACGTTTGAACCTTCGACAACTTTTTTTGTACCTTGTGCTTGTTTTCACATTTGTTTTCAAACTTTTTTACATGTAAACAAGCTTCACACTAATCTTAAGGATAAATAGAGGTATTTTACTGAATTTAGAAGCCGTTTATGTAGAACGTCTTTTTTCAAATTGGTCATTTGCTCGAGAAGGAAAATAATTTACACCTTTTACCTCTTCGGCGGCAAAACTGAAAGAAATCAAGTGTCCAAGCGAAAGCACTGAAAGTTTAACATGTTTAACGTCGCGATTGACATAAGGTAAGTACCTTGAAATGTTTTAGAAATGCTGTTCAAGTTCAGCTCTGTTTTGTACTTTTCTAAGTACCACGATTCAGGACGATTGCAAGCGGCGTACTCTTTTTCATGTTTTCAGGGGCCATGTCCTCTTTGAAGGTATTTATTTCTTCTTCTGTATATGGGACAATCGACCCCTGCACTTCCTCCGTTGTCGCTTCTCCGTTTTGTTTGGTTGAACTTTGGATTGCCATTTTCTGGGCCGTGTTCACAGGATTTTCTTGTTTTCTGGTTGTCGCGAGTGAAAGAGGTTTTATGTCTCTTCGAGAATCTGTCGTTCAGTTCAAAACAAGGAAGAACCTCCGGCTCACTTTAAAAAACGCTTTTGTTTGTTTTTAACTCTTCAAAAAGTGACAATGAATGGTTTTGAAAACCGGTTTTAAAATGACATTGTAGAAAACCTTTTTTGCATGTTGTTGTGTTAAAATTTGACGATAGTTGTTACGTAGATGCGAAACAATATCGCTTAGCCTCGTTTTCAACTCGCAATTCCACACTAAATACCTCGCTTCGTTAACCAATCAGAATGCGAGATTTTACTTAATTATGCGATTCTATATGATATATATTAGTAAGCAGTTTAAATTTTGTGCTTAAGCTCTACAAATTCCTTAAAGTTTTAAATACGTTGAAGGCTAGGTTATTTAAGCTTATTAATTTATTATTATTTATTACAGAGTAAGAGTTACCTTCATTGCTCCAATATGGCTAGTTGGAGAACCTCGCGCGCTGAAAGTCAGTAGAGGATAAAAGACTACAAAGTTCGGAATGTCTCTTTTGGAAATGCATTTCAAATATTCACATAATTTATTAAAATAATTCAGCTTTATGACAAGCTGAACCTATATTCCATCTATCCTGGGCTATGGCCGGACGCCATTCTAAATTGAAAAGGACCTTGCTATACGTCTGGACTTACTTACAGTTGGCCTTAATTTAAACCCGTTACCAATTCGACTAATATTTTCGATAATCACAGAAATGCATGTGAAGGATTTACAAAGTCTTTTTTTTGTCCAAGCAAAATCTGCGAAAACCAGTTACGACAGTGCAGTTCTTCATTTATTTTATTTTATTTTTATATATTCTTAGTACTTAGCTTTTACAGTTCTTATCTGATGAATTATTGCACCTTTTTAGCCTTTAAGTTTTAGAATATACTAGCCAAGGGCTGTGCATTACTAAAGGAGCTCGTCTAATCGTCGCCTCTACGTTAAATAAAGTATCTTAACTTATCTTATCAATTCGTCCTTTATCCTTTATTGAATTCGCCACGGTAACTGGGATGAAAAAGGACTTACGTCCTAATTGATATCAACCCCTTTATTACTCACCCAGCCCATGAAAGGTTGTACCACACCACCGGGGTCTTACGCCCCCTACTCTTTACGAACAGCAGTGTGGGTTTTT